ACCTGAGCCTGGTCTTTTGGATTAAATTTTTACCTTAAAATACTTGCCCTACACAGGAAGGTAACCCAAATAATACGTACCCACAACCTGCTCAAGGTGGAGATGGTTACTGCCTCGGTTCTCTTCCTGTGTGATTTGGTGGCGGAAAACAGTCAACATTTATGATCTTGTGCATAGATCCGCTGGGTGAGGGGTCCCGGGGCAGCTCCGAGGGATGATCCTGGCCGGGGCCGGGGCTGAGACACAGGCCAGGGCCACCATTGGCTGAGGGCGAGGCCGGGGGCTGGAGGGACCACGTGGAGATGGGCTTCCCAGGGCTGTTGGCAGGGGCCTCCGCGGCGCCTGCGCCAAGTGCTCTCTCCGTGGTGCTGACTGAGCGTCCGCACGAGGCGGCCGCAGTGGCTTGTGTGACCAGCTCCCCCCAGTCCCACCTCGCCACTTCCGTCTTACCCTGTCGCCTACAAGCACGTTGCTGCGTCCAGCCCACAACCCAGGAGAGGGGGACGTTCACCTCCACGTTTTGAAGGCAGCGTCCGAGAACTTGTGGAAGCGTTTTAAAGTTTTTCTTATTCACTGATTTCAGAGGGCCACCAGGGTAGACGGCGTCCGTGCCACATGTTCTATGACTGGTGCTGCTTCACAGAGGGGTCCTTCGGTCCTCCCAGCGCCACTGTGAGGCTGTGGCACCCCCATTTCGTAGATGTGGACACTGGGGCATCGGCAAGTCCTTCAGGCTGCACAGGAAGTGCAGGAGCTGGCGTGCAACGCCCCCCCCCCCCGCCCCGCCCCGGGCTCGGTCAGCACCGCGGAGAGCTCCACACGCTCGGCGCCTAGGCAGTGCTGGTGGGAGAGCGGGGTAAGATGTTTCCAGTGCACGTACCACAGGAAGGCTCAACTGATACACAAGGAGATCCCACGACGGCGTGAAGAGTGTGAGGTGGTGATGCTCAGAGTAATAAGTACCTGGGAGAAAGGGGGGCGTGCCTTACTATCCCCACTTGGGAAAACGATTCGGCTGCTTCCAGTAAGTTTGAGGAGGCGTGTGCGCTGTCCCCAACAGTTCTGATCCTTGACACATGTTCTGGGCACCTCTGGCTTTTGGCCACATAGAAACACACGCAGGTGTCCCTCACAGTCTTGATTGTGGCAGCGAGAAGCTGGGAACCGTGGGAACCCCCAGCGATGGAACGTAGCAGCTGTGTGGTCCTGCAGTGAAACAACACCCAGGGGCGAAAAGATTCGAACTGCAGCTGGGTGTTCACATGTGTAAATCTCACAAGGGTAACATGAGGGGGAAAAGGGCAAGTTTCAGAAAAGCACACGCAGTTCAATGTCACCGGCACGTGCAGAAGTAACACGTGCAGGCAAACCCACAAGCACAGTGAGTTACAAACATGCTAAACCACAGCCAGAGTTACCCATGTGGGGGGGGACAAGGGGTGCAGTCCGCCAGGGGCTTCGACTCCCCTGGGAGTTGTGAGGGTGTCAAATGCGTCCATAGGTGCTGGCCGGGTGGCTTGATTGGTTGAGGCATCATCCTGATCCACCAAGGTTGGGGGTTTGATCCCCGGTCAGGGCTCAAACAAGAATGAACTGATGAGTGCGTCAGTAAGTGAGGAGACCTACGTCCTTATTTTCCAGCCTGGAGATGGATACAGGTTGGGAGATTATTCCCCAAATGACCGTGCATCGCCGGAAGAGCATGCCCTGGGGTGTGTGTCGAGAGGGACAGGGGACGCAACCTGGCCCCTGGTGCCTCCGGAGTGGGGGTGGGGGGGTGGGGACGTGTCCTCCTGGGCAGGAGGTGTGGCTGGGCCATCTCGGCTGAGAAAAGCCCCATGTTCTGAGCCGTGTTTGCCTTTCTGGGTTCATTCCGGCGGCAGGGAGGGAGCAGACCTGTGAGGTAGGGAGACCCCAGGGAATCCCAAAGGGCCTTTTCCTGTCCCTGAGTTCACGTAGAGACACAGGCCGTCAAACCCACGCAGCCCTGTTGGAACCGAGGGGTCGCGAGAGGCCGGGAGAGGGCTCTGCAGCCCAGAAAAGCCCTCCTTTTCTTTGGAGAGAATGAAAAGTGGTGCTGGGCCTGAGTGGTACTGCCCTTGGCCTTGAGTTACACTTCTGCTGCTGCCTCCATTGCCTCAGGGAAATTGGAGACAGACGCACTTGCAAAGAATGCTAATAGAGGGCGGAGGACAGGGACCCAGAGCCCCGATTCCCCTGCTGGCCACCAGGGGCGCTGTGGGATGCCTGCCGATACATAGACATGTCAGGGCAGTGTGTGAACTGAGCTCAGACATGGGCCCGCTTCTGCATGTGGAAGAGCGTTGTGTAGGGGGCGATGCTCTGCTGTCCTCCCAGAGCGGGCCGAGGACTCTGTGCGTTTGCAGGGGGCCTCCGAAGCATGGGGGCTGCTGGGGCTACAGATGAACAGGACTCTGCCCTTTCAGGGGACCTACAGACGGAGGGCCGGCGGAGGAAAAGCTGGTTCCTTCCTCTGGGGCGGGACACCCAGGGGGCAGCAGGCGGGCCTCAGCACGGGGCAGGGGAGCCTGCCACGCCCACAGATGGGCTCGGGGCTCTGGGGGAGGAGGGAGGAGCTGGACTCCTGGGCAGGTGGGCGTGCTCGTGAGCGCTGGGAGGTTCAGGCTTCCGGGCTGGTCCCTGCTGTCCTGCTTGGTCACAGCTGCCCGGAGCTCTGGACAGTTGCCCAGAGAGGACAGCGTCTTTCCGTCTGACCCGCTGGAGCCTGCGGACGGAGGATGCATCTGAACCTGCAAGAATTTGTATGGGTTCGCTTGAGCCAAACTGGCGGCAGTTGCCGGGAAGCAAAACACCTCAGTGGGTTGAGAACATGCCCCAGAGACCAGGAGTTCTGCACCTGATTCCACACGTCAGAGTCGAAGGGGACGGTGGAAGGGGTTACATGAAATCCACTGGTGATGGGGGAGGGGGGCGGGAGAGAGCAAAGCAGGGAAGCCTCTGAGATTGGGGGAGAGGTAAAGTGGACACACAGGGGCCTCTCTCACGTGGGCGGGTGCAGGACCGTTCACAGTCAGCATCTCCAGCACGTAGAGATGGTATGCGGGGGACCAGGTGACAGCGCGGGGCCCCGTGGTCTCCGCTCTGCGGGGAGGCTGTGCCCTGAGGGGTCTGGGCAAAGGAGATTCCCCTGACATTGCAAAGGCGTGTTACTGTGTTAGCACAGATGCAGAAAAGACAGTAGACAGGCTCGCTTAAGGTAAAGGGTGAGCCCTCGCCGGTGTGGCTCAGTGGGGTTGGGCGTCCTGCAAACCGAAAGGTCACAGGTTCGATTCCTGGGCAGGGCACATGCCTGCCTGGGTTGTGGGTTCAGTCCTGGTTGAGGTGCATGCAAAATGCAACCTATCGATGTTTCTCTCCCTCCTTTCCCCTCTCCCTAAAAATAAAATAAAATCTTAAAAAAATAAAAGGCGAAGACTGACCACTGTCAGGGGAGATACTGGCCTAGACAGGACTCCCCCCCATGACTCTGGCTTTAGGTAGGAAGTTTTCATGTCAGACCATCCGGTGCGGTTCCCTTGGTCTCTGAGTTGGTGAGGCCGCCGCCCAGGCCTGCCCCGCACTGGTCAGGTCTGGCATGTGGCCCCATTTGCAGCCACAGGGTCCCAGCGCTGACTTGTGCTGGAGGGAGGAGTCGAGGCTTCATCCCCCAGCTCCCCGGGTGGCAGCATTCTTGTCCCTGGACGCAACATTTGGCATCTGCACCCTGCCGGTGTGGGTGCCGGGGGATCCCCCCAAATTCCATAATTAAAACCCCTGCTAGAAACGTCTGTCTAGGGACACGGGAGTGATTGTCGGGCTCCGCTCGGCAGGGACAACCCAGAGTCTGTTGTCTGCCTGGGCCGATCACGGGCACGCCGCCGTGCCCTGTGACGTGGGCCAGGATGAAAGCGGACTTCCCAACAGGCACGGCTGTCTGTGAGGTGCTCTCCGCTGTTGTTCCCGGCGAATGAGCCTGCTGGGTTTGAAAGGAGCCCCAGATTCCTCCATGACTTGCCTTTCTTTAGGCAAGTGGGGGGCAGGAGAAGAGGCTCTGGGATGTGATATTTAAGACCAGTAAGTCCCTCCCTTCTTTTATTTTTTAAAGATTTTGTTTATTTATTTTTAGAGAGAGGGGGAGGGAGGGAGGAAGAGAGGGAGAGATACGTCAATGTGTAGTTGCCTCTTGTGTGCCCCCTATTGGGGACCTAGCCTGCAACCCAGGCTTGTGCCATGACTGGAAATCGAACCGGTGACCCTTTGGTTCGAAGGCTGGTGCCCAATCCATTGAGCCACCCTAGCTGGAGTCCCCCTTCTTGCACTGCCCCAGGCTTCCTGTTCCTCTGCTGCCGAGCCCTGTGAACCCCTGCTCCAGCCCTCCACCTGACCTTGAATCCTCCAGTCCACTGGCCTGTCCCTCCAGCAGTCGTTGGCGAAGCGCTGTCTGTCTGAGAGAAGTGTGGGTCCCCACGGCCTCTCCTCTGTTCTCTTCGTGAAACCGCCTGGTCCGAGAGGCAGGGTGGGCTGTGAACCTGGACGGGGCAGCAGAGGGGCCCTGCCCTTCCCTTCTCCCTCTCCCGCACCCCCTCCAGCCCCCAGCGGTGCACCCTCCTCTGTCTGAACGTGTCCCCAGACACCGACTCTGCCAACCAGTGGGGTCAGGCTTTGTCCTGGGGAAATGAATATTCATGAGGACTTGGAGGCGCTTTGTTGAAACGCTGGGTAGCCTCTCCCCCCTCTGCCTCCCTTTATTGGCCCAAGGCGGTGTCCTCGAGCAGTAATCTTGCAGCAGCGAATGGCCAGAGCAACAATTTAACGGTTTGTGTTCAGGTGATTCCTGGCCACCCCGTTGGAATTGTCCTCGGCTCACCTCTGCAAAGCGGTGCGCTCACTCGCACTCCCACACGTGAAGGAGGTCTCCGCGCGCCTGTGTCCCTTCCGGGACACCAGTAACTTTCTCTCTTCGTTCTGCTTTATTCCAGAGAGATTCCATCCCCGGGAGGCCACCCCCGACAGCCCCGAGCCACGCGACGTCTTCGGTAAGAAATGCAAGCCTCACCTGGCGTGAGGAATGGGATGTGTTTTTGTTTGTTTGTTTTCTGGAGCGACACTGCCCCTCAGGTGGGCGGGGCGGTCCCCACCGTTATTTCCTGGGAAGCCGTGTGTGTGTGTGTGTGTGTGCTCGCGCACGTGTGCGCTTCAGCGCTTGCCTGACCGCTCGCTGGGCGTCTGAGGCCGGGGTTGGATCTGCAGCCGAGGGCCCGGGGAGCCCTGGGCCCCCCGCTGGGTGCCCCAGCACCCCAGGATGACAGCAACATCCCCCACCCCTCCTCCTTACCCCACCGCTTCTGCAGAGCAGTCTCCTCCCTGAATCCGTGTTCGCATCTTCCCACCCAGGTTCCTATATCACAAGTAGGTCCCTGTCTCCAGCGGTAGGTGCCAGTGGACGCCTCTCGCTACCCAATTTGGGCCGCGTTGTCAGTGTGCCGGAAGTCCACCACCGAGAAGTGACCGGGCTCCTGAGCGGAAGGCCGTGACTTTGGTTAAAAGGAGCTTTCCTGATCTCAGGGATGAGGGACGGCCTGTCTGGCTGTCACCCTGCGGGTGAGGCTGCACCGTCACCCCGGTTGCACCAACCCACCTTCGGCGTTTGGCTTTTCCTCCTGCCCCGGGAGGGCCTGCGGGAGCAGACGTGCTCGGGTCTCTGCAGATGGCAGAGAGCCCTGTCCAGGGGAGACCGGTGGGGGGGTGGGTCGGCACTGCAGATGAATGGATACATTCCTTCTTGGGCCAGAGACACCCCGCGGCTTGGTGGTGGGCCAGTGCGGACTGCAGGCGTTTGAGGAAGAGGCGAGAAGGCCTGGTCAGGTGCCCAGAGCAGGCTGGAGCTTCTGACACAGCCCGTGGGTTCTTCTGCGTCCGGGGAGGAAGCCGAGGTGGATCGGATGGGGCGGCAGCGGTGCCTTCATCTGTTTCACTAGCTGGTTCCTCGTCTCTGCCGTGTCTAGGTGGCTGCCCGCACTCGCTGTGCTGTGCCTGGGTTGGCGTCCCCTGCCAGCACACCGGGCAGTGGCCTTGTCACAGAAGTGCTGGGTGGGTTCTGGGTGGCTTTGGGGTCCGGGGCACACGCACGAGGCACTGGAGACATGTCGAGCAGCCAGCCCCACACAAGGCGGGATTCGCAGGAATCGGTGATTTCTGATGCGTTCGGGCAAAAGGATAAAGGAGTGCTTTCCGGTTGTCAGTTTTTGAAGTTAGTGAATTTATTTCCGTGCCCTCCAGAAGGCCTTTCCATCCCGTCTGATTCTCTGTTTCCAGTTGTGAACATCTTTCGGCCTCAAATGCATCAGCCAGCCTCAGTGGTGGAAACGCTCATGCGTTCCCGGGGGGGGGAGTGGTGTCCTGGGAAGGGAGGGGGTTTTGCTCTCAAGTGGCAGGAAGGCTGGCCGGTGCGGGAGCTGCCCCTCGCGGGCGGCGGTCTCACCGGGACAGTGCAGTTCTGGTGCCCGGGGAGCCCGGGCTCACACAGCCACCCCGAACCTCCCACCGCCCTGAAGTCGGCTTCTCCATGTTGTCCCCGAGGGGACCGGGGCCGTCCCTGGTTCCAACGCAGCCACAGCGCAGGGCTGCAGGCACCTCTGAGGCGTGAGGTGTTTTGTGCTTTTTGAGCCCGAGAGAGACCAGGGCGTTCCCGCGTGTCCCGGAGCACCGTTCAGGCGTCCGTGTCCCTGGCGGCAGACAAGTGTGCGGTGCCGTCTTCCCCGTGGCGCTGGCCGTCTGGCCGGGGCTGGGACGTCCCTGAAGTGACGGCGCCCCTCACGGCTCTCTCCGGCCTCCCCGCAGCAAAGCCCATGTCTTCCGGGAGAGAAACACTGCACCGAGACGGACGCTTTTCTGTCTTCAAAACGTATTTAGTTATTTTCCTTAGAGAGAGAGGACGGGAGGGAGCGAGAGTGAGAGAAACATCGATCGTTTGCCCCTTGTCCATGCCCCGACTGGGGGCTGAACCCACAGCCCAGCAGGTGCCCTGACCGGGAACCAAACCGGCGACCTTCTGCTCTGCGGGATGACGCCCCAGCCACTGAGCCACGCTGGTTGGGGCTGACGGATGTTTTCCAGCGTCACTGACTCTGGGAGGAGAGGGGAGACCTGGGTCTGTTTGCTCTGCACTGCAGACGGGTCCCTCGGGTACCAGGGAGTACTGAGACCTGGAGCGTGCACCCGGCGTCCCTCCCGGGGGGGTCTATGTGTGGCCGGCGGCGTCCACAGGGCCCTCGTCAGGGCTGTGAGGCCGATTTCTCATCTGAGGATTTCTCTCCCCCTCGAGAGACAAAGCTCATGGGCCGCCCTCTTTGGGGGCCCCCGTGGGACACTGAAGCCACACTACAGCCTGGCCAGCACCTCCCTGCCTGACCACTGCCCTCTTGGTGGGCCTCACATGCACCTGCCCGTGAGCCAGCCTGTGCGGCCTCCGGTCTGGGGCCTCGAGTGTGGGTGTGCGGGACGGGGTGTCTGTGGTCACCCTGGGGCCCTGGCTGCTTGCAGTTCCGGAAGGTGGCTTGTCGTATCCATGAAGTGGGGCTCGTGATATTTTGGGGGGTGGCAGTGAGAACGAGCCACATGGTGGGTGGGGCGTGCACAGCCCACCGTAGCGCCCCCAAACCATTAGTTCCCTTCCTCGGAGGAGGAGGAGGAGACAGGACGTGAAGCTGGTCGGTGAGAGTTGCATCCGGACATGGTGCGTGTGGTTGCAAATGCTGGAAAGTCCCTGCTCTGCTGCCTAAGTTTTTTTCTTAGTTGCACATTAGGAGAGAAAAAAACTCACCACTGACACCTTTTGTTTTGTTTTGTGGTTTTTTTGTTACAAAATGAAAAATGTGTTAAGAAAATAGCCCCACGAGCTGCTACTAGGCAGGGCCCGGCCTCGTTGGTGTGATTCAAGGGAAGGAGGTCAGCCGTTCCGGGATGCGGCTTTTTATGAATGGCGTTCAGACCTAATTAATTCCCTCCCGTTCTGAGTAGTGGCGACACGAGTGTCGGAGCCGGCATTCTCACGCCGAGTCCCGTGGGGTCCCAGGAGGGGCCCGTGGGCCCGGGAGCCCACGTGTGGCTCAGGCCGGGACCCGCCGTCCGTGTGGGAGTCCAGAGCGCCCTGGGAGAGGCTGCGAGAAGTCCTGCAGGGAAGTGACCCAGCTACGGCTCACTCGTCATCTTCCGAGCTGATTCAACCTTTCTTCTTACTTACTGATTTTGAGAGAGAGAGAGAGAGAGACAGAGATCTGTTTGTTGTTTCACTCACTGATGCACTCACTCATTGGTTGCGTCCTGCATGTGCCCTGGTGGGGGATCGAACCCACGACCTTGCTGCAGCAGGATGACGCTCTAACCACTGAGCAACCCACCCAGGGCCCACACTGCTTTTCACCACACGTGCTCCCAGAACCCGAGGAGATGCCGACTGAAGTCGGAACGATTCTTGTACCGTAGCTGGTGCGCGGGCTGGTTGCTAAGCAATGTGCATGGCAACCGTGAGTCTCCCAGGACGATGCTGCTGGGGTCTCCGCTTGGCCGAGTGCACAGCAGAGGGTCCTTCCCATGCCGTCTGGGGCTGCTACGGGCCCACTCCTTTCTTGGATGACAAGTCACTTAATGTCTGTCAGTCACTGGGCACATTTTCAGGGGAGGACCCCCAGACAGCCCCTTGGCCCTGCCCTGCTTTGCCGGGAAAGGGGCTTTTCACCCCGGGGGCCTCTGTGGTTTTGTCCAATGAAGGATGGCGGGAGGGGCCGGGGAGCTGTGTTCTGTGGGGCAGCGTTCAGTTGTGCAGGGGAGGAGCATCCAGTCTGGGTTTGGATGATGGCGATGGTGGCACAGCGGAATGTCCTTCCTGCGCCCAGACTGGACACTTGTCAAAGTTCAAATGGTCACTTTTTAAAAAAATACTTGTTTCTAGAGAGAGGGGACGGGAGGGAGAAAGGGAGAGGAACATTGATGTGAGAGAGAAACATCAGTGTGTGGTTGCCTCTTACACGCCCCCTACTGGAGACCTGGCCCACATCCCAGACATGTGCCCTGACTGGGGATCGAACCGGCGACCTTTTGCTTTGCAGGATGACGCCCAGCCCACTGAGCCTCACAGCCCGGGGCAGGATGGCCACTTCTATGTTGCATGTCTTTCACCACAATTGCACGGGGAGGGAACCCAGCTCCGTGCCCGGCAGTGGACCCCAAAGGGCATTGCGGGAAGCCCAGGGCCAGGCGCGGGGGCGGCCCTCAACTGTGGGCTCTGCCGCCGTTCTTCCTCGGAGCCCTGAGTGCAGCCCTCCCGCCATTCCAGGATGCGGTTTCCGGTCTCTCCTCTCTCCCACCGCTGTGTGGGTGTCACTGTCACCGGGCCTGCGTCCCCCTGCTGCTTAGTCCTGGGGGGTGGGCAGCTGTTCTCTGGTGGTTTGAGCAGGACAGAATATATATGTGTGTGTGTGTGTGTGTGTGAGAGAGCATGTGAGAATGTGTGACCAAGGGTTCATATATCTGAGTCTGGGTTTGTGTGTGGTGTGCACGTGAGAGTGGGGGGGGGTGTGTGTGTGTGGTGTGTGTGTGTGTATAGGAGAAGCTGGCTGGCCCTTATTTCCAGAAGCAGGGCTGTCAAAAATGACCCCCGCCTGGCGACCCTCCCCAAGTGGCCTTGACCCCAGGGGTCCCTGGGAAGCCCAGTTCACAGACATCAGGGCCGTGCTCCCTGGTCGGGCAGCTCACTTAGAGCGTCATTGACCCGATGTGCCCAGGTTGCGGGTTCGGTCGCTGGCCAGGGCGCCTGCAGGAATCAGCCAGCAGACGCATTAATAAGGGGACAGCACATCCGTGTCTCCCCCACCCCTGCCCCCTCTCTCTGAATGAGCGAGAGAAGCAGGCAGGGTAGTGCTGGTGGGGCCTGGGCAGCAGGCAGGGCTCCGGCTGCAAATGGAATCCGAGGACAAACACTGACCCAGGAGGCCCTGCCCGCACTGTGGTGCCGGCTCAGGGCTCCACCCGGTCGGGTCCCCTCCCTGCAGGGACCCGCCGCACCTGCTGACAGAGTGGTGGACAGAGGGCGGGGCCACGGGGTTGCTCTGTGCGAAGCCTCGTATTGGATACAGGGGTCCCGGGGTGTGGGCTTGTGGTGGGCACCTCAGTGAGCACAGCTGGCCGGCTCGGAAGTGGTCGTGACCAACCCCGTCCCACCCGTGGGTGCAGAAGCTCCGCCTGCCCCTCGTCCTGGCCAGTGATGGCCGCGGTCAGTCATTTCAGCTTTATTCTGGGGGACACATGGGCGGGATCTCTGGCTTTAATTCTTACTTCATTGAAGACTAATAATAAATGTTCAGTGTCCCTTTGGGTATTTTTATTGTCCTTTTGGTCTTTTTTGTGTCGGGTTCTTGGCGCTTTGAACAGTTTCTTTACGTATTCGGTTCCCAAGACGTGGGCTCGATGGACGTGCCGCCCATGTTTTCCCATCTCTTTGCTCCCTCTGGGAGGCAGCCTTTGATCAGGAGGAGCCTGGCTTGTGCCTCTTTCCTTCCATGTGGTTGCGCCCGGCGCCCTGTTTGGGGGCCCATTCACAGCCCAAGTCGGCTTCTCCCGCGTCAGCTTCTCCCGCTCCACTGTGCGAGTGTCGCCTCTAGGCCTGCCGTCCACGCAGTGTGGGGTTTGTGTGGACGGCGTCACTCACACGCCAAGACTCGTTTTCCTTTCATTTAAATTGTTTGGTTTGGTTTTGTTTTATTCCGTCACCATGTGTCCCCTCACACCGCCTTCTGCCTCCCCCCGCCCACTCCCCCCCCCCCGTAGTCACCGCACCGCCCTCTGTGCCCAGGAATTCTGTCTCCTTTTTGCTGTTTTTGATCAATTCCGCCACAACCCCCGCAGCTCCCCCTCAGAGCCGTCAGCCTGCTCCCTATCTGTGAGTCTGTCTCTGTTTCACTCCTGGTTCAGTGTGTTCACTGGATTCTGCATACAAGTGAGACCACATGGTCTTTGTCTGTCTGTCTCTGACGGGCTTGTTTCACTCAGCACGATGTTCTCCAGGTCCCTCCGTGCTGTTGCAGAGGGTGACATTTTCTTCCCTTTTACGGCCGAGCGGTGCTCCACCATGTGAACGTCCCGCAGCTGTCCCATCCACTCCTCCCCCGACGGGCACTCAGGCTGCTCCCAGATTGTACCTGTTGGAAATACCACGGTGGCAAACACAGGGGCACGTTTATTCTCTTGAGCTGGTGTTGGGGTTCCTTCAGACACACTCCTGGGAGTGTTGGGATCACCAGTCGTAAGGCAGATCCATCTGTAATAGTTTGAGGTAACTCCGTACGGCCGTCGGTGATTATTTAGCTGGCCCTGCGCCGTTCGTTTCCGGTCTGCCTTCCGTAGCCGAAGGTCTGATTCCGTGTTTGGAGCTGGCCTCCCGCCTGCCCCCCCTTCCCCCGCCCCCCGCCCGTGCTGGAGGTTCCAGTATTCAAGTCACCTGAGCCATGCCTGGCTGGTGATGGGATACAATGTGTATGCATAGCTTGTTGGATCTGGTAATTTTTCAGTAGTTTCTTTGCACCTCTGTTTCAAGTTGAATGGCCTGTAATTTCATTTTCGTTGAATGTCCAAGTCTGGTTCCGGCACCGAGATGACGGCGGCCATTCAGAGCACGTCGGGGGGGGGGGGTGGCCTCTCCCTCCTCCACGCTCCCCGGGAGGCTTGGGGTGGCACTGGTACTGGCTTTTCGTTGCTTCATTTGCTTCAGTGCTTGGAAGAATTCCCGTGGGAAGCCGCGTAGGTGTGAAGTTAGTCGAGAAGAAGGTTTGTAATTAGAGATTTACTTTCCTTAGGAGATAACAGAACCACTTGGATTTTTACATTTCTTCTAAGGTCAGTTTTGCTAAAACTGTATTTCAGTAATTTGGTCACCTCATAAAAATTATCACAACGATTAGCGTTAAATTCGTAATATCCATTCTTGTCTTTTACACGTGACGGCACCATTTGCTCTCTGATGCTGTAATTAAACGGGAGGATCGTTCCCCTCCTGCCCCCGTTTTCCTGTCCGGCTGGAGATGTCTAATATTAATTTCCCCCAAGAATCAACATTCGAGTGTGTTGATTTCTTTCTATTATGCATTTTTTTTCTTCCCTGCCCTTGCCGTTCTTATTTGCTTCCTGCAGCTTTGTTTGGGTTTCATCTGCTGTTCTTTTCAAATTACTTGCGAGTGAGTGGCTCTCCAGAATGTTCCTTTTCCCAGCCTGGTCTTCTGATGAAGGAATGGGAGGTTAAACATTTCCTTGTAGGCCTGCTTTGGCTGTCATACACTTTTCATAAGAATTGGGATTTACCCTGGCTGGCATAGCTCAGTGGATTGAGCTCGGGCTGGGAACCAAAGTGTCCCAGGTTCGATTCCCAGCCAGGGTACATTCTGCGGTTGCAGGCCATAATCCCCAGCAACTGCACATTGATGTTTCTCTCTCTCTCTCTCTCTCTCTCTCCCCCTCTCTCTCTCTCTCCCCCCCCTCTCTCTCCCCCTCTCCCCCCTCTCCCTCCATCTCCCTCCCTTCCCTCCCTAAAAATAAATAAATAAAATCTTAAAAAAAAATTGGGATTAAAAAAAAAACATAACATTTACCATGCTAACCATTTTCGAGTGTACATATCAGCAGTGCTAACAAGATTCGCCTCGTTGGGAAGCCCTCCCCCAGGACCGTTTCTCCTCGCAAACCGGAAACTCTGTCCCCCTTAAACAGCCTCCACCCCCCCACCCGCCCCGGCCCCCCCCCCCCGGCAGCCAGCACCGCACAGCAGGTGGGGTGGGGCAGAGGTGGCACCTGCCCGAGGGGGGTCGGTAGGGCTGTGATACGTGTGCAGCCGTGTGTGGTGTTAACTTGGACACTTCCCCTGAGATGGGCGGTGGCGTGCTCGAGCGTGACGTTGGCGTGTTGCAGAATGACCTGCCAGTGGTTCTGGGATGAAAGACTTTGCAATCCAAGGGGGCCCCGCCCGTTCCAGCCGCCCGAGTGGGCGGCGTCTCTGTTCCCCAGCCCGGACGCACACCTTCATCGGTCGTTCTCTCCCTCGAGTGGCGTGAGAATCTTCCTCAACTCTCCGTGAGCGGCAGAAAAAGCAGGTGTTCGTTTGTGGGGTGGAGGCCTGCGCGGTCGCTCTCCCGTGTGACCCCCCGCTTCCGGCCCCGCGGGCAGGCGCTGCCCCCCGCCCCCGGTGTCCCGCCCGGAGCCCCCCTTCCTCCGTGACGCCGCTCCCCCGGGGCCTGAGCGTGAACCAGCTCCGAACTTACCCAAGGGCCTCCGGTGTTCCCCTTGAACAGAAGGGCCCTCTCTCTTCTACCCAGAGTGCCCCGTTTCCTGTAATTCTGCGCACCCTCCAGGGGTGGGGCTGTGTTCCGGGGGTCCGCCTCCCCGGCCGGACCTCACCCGCAGAGGGATCGAAGGAGTCGGAGGGGGCGGGGGCTCAGCACCAGTCTCTATGGCGCTCTGTCGGAGGGTCCCTGCCAAATGTCCTCTCGCAGCGAGTGCTGCTCCGTTTGGGGTGAGGGGGGCGGAGAGGCCTCGTGCACCGGGGAGGGTGGGGCGCGTGCCTGCCGGGGACAGGGAGCGCGTGGTGGCCTTCGAGGGTCCTCGGGTTTAGGCTCGGGAGACGTAGAGCATCTCCTCGTGGGTCTTCATCGTGTCTTCTGGAAAAAAGCTGCTCTTTGGTGTTGAGAAACACTCCCTGACCCTTTGACCGGTTTCCTGGTCACGCGGGCCACCCAGACGTGGGGGGGCGGTGGGGCTGGTCGGTGCCGCCCGCTGCGTCCCCCTCCCCTCCCCTCCCCCTCCGCCGCGAGTGTCCCCCTCTCTCTCTGCGGCCTGGCCCTGCCTTGTTCCCCACAGACCGCCAGCAGGTATGGGACGCCGCATTGCGTGCACAGAGGCGCGCTCGTTACCCGGGCTCCGCAGCGCCGCAGCGGGTCCCCGTGGCTTTGTCGGGTGCTGACGCTGTTCTCTCTGTCCTTCCTCCCACAGTGGCTGCCTCCCGGTGACGATGGCCGCGTGAGCGTCCGCCATGGCCAACCGCAAGCGGCAGAGCACAGCGAGCAGCATGCTGGAGCACCGCGCGCGGCCGGGCGCCGGGCCCCACGGGGAGGAGCCCGAGAGCCAGGATGCGGAGCTGCCGCTGGAGGCCTACGCGCCCCCGGGCCTGGACCTGGCCGCCCTGCGGCCTGAGAGCCCCGCCCCCCTGGCGCAGGACGGCCTGGCGCACAGCCCGGATGGGGACTCCAGCTCCGACTACGTGAACAACACCTCAGAGGAGGAGGACTACGACGAGGGCCTCCCCGAGGAGGAGGAAGGCGTCACCTACTACATCCGCTACTGCCCGGAGGACGACAGCTACTTGGAGGGCGTGGACTGCGACGCGGACGCATACCTGACCCGCGGCGCACGCCCCCTGGACACGGATGAGTGCCAGGAGGCGGTGGAGGAGGAGTGGACGGACTCGGCCGGCCCGCACCCCTGCGGCCGCCTCCCCGTCCCCGAGGACGAGGCCTCCGAGCTGGGGGCGGCGGACCAGGAGGACGGCCTGCCCTACGGCCCCGGCGAGGAGGCCTACCAGGACTACTACGCCCCGGAGGCTAACGGGAACGCGGGCGGCATGTCTCCCTGCCGCCCGAGGCGTGGCGCCGGTGACGCGGAGGACCAGGAGGAGGACATCGACCAGATCGTGGCCGAGATCAAGATGAGCCTCAGCATGAGCAGTATCGCCAGCGCCGGGGAGGCCAGCCCGGAGCACGCGCCGGTGCGGGGCCCGGAGCCGGGGCCCGGGGTTCCCTCGGAGGCCTGCCGGCCCGGGGAGGCCAGCCGCGGCCCCAGCAGACACGAGGGGAGGCCCAAGTCGCTCAACCTGGCCCCTGAAGCCAAGCTCCCTGGGGACGCCCAGAGAGGCTTCAAGACCAAGCCCAGGACACCCGAGGAGAGGCCACAGTGGCCCCCAGAGCAGGTAGGACTCCGGCTGTCCCCAGGGAGGGGGCGGGGCCCCCAGACACAGAATGTTCTGACACAGCCCGCTGTTCCAAACATGTTCTCAGTTCCACACGTGTTCCATTCCATGCACGCGTGTGTGTTCTGGTCACGCAGGGTCACCTCTCTGGGTTGTCAATAAACACTGGGAAAGGCTCCCCAAGGGGCTGATCAGTAGCTCATGCTGCCCAAAGGCACCCCCTCCCCCGACCGGGAAGGGCTCCAGTCCCCAGCCCGCTGTCCCAGACCTGCCCATGGTGCGGGGTGGTCCCTGAGCCCGCCACTCCCACCAGGCAGCTCCTCGGGCCGGTGGGACGTGGGTGAGGGAGCGCGTTTCCCAGGGGCCGTTCCACCCGGGCGGAGCGTGGGGTGTGGGGTGTGACAGACAGTTAGCTGCAGGTGACCGTGTTGAAAGTAGTGCTGTGAAGGGGTGACGGGGTCCGGGAGAAGCCGTGCCTGCCGGTGAGCCCGACGGCATTGAGCGGAGCCCTACTTTTTAATCACACCAAAGTCCAGTGCGTTTTCTCATAAACGCACCCGGAAAGCTGTGCCTCTCAGACCCGTGTAAAGAGATATGTATGCGGCTGCTTCTGTGGGCCCCTGCAGACGAGCTGCTCTCGCGGTGTCTGAAAGCCTCGTCGTGTGTGTGGTTCCCCGGAAGAGCGTGTGCAAGTTTGAAAAACAGAGACAGAGCTAGTGTTTGGGAGACGAGTCGCCTCAGGGTCCTGTTAGATTTTCCGTCCAGGCATTCGATGCCTTCGGTTCTTTCTAAAGGCTGTTAAGCGTAAATTATCATTTGTGGCAGTTCTGCGTGTGCTGTGGGCCCGTGAGGTGTTGGGGGGCTCCCCCCAAGGGCAGGCAGCTCGGGGACCACAGACTTTAGGCCAGAACACCGCCGGCCCCCTGCAGGGATGGGTGGAACCGATCTGGTCCCCCCCCACCTCGCCCCCGGCAGTGACGAAGGGCCCCAGGGTCGCCGTGGCTGCCCGAGGCGGGTGGTGCCCTGCTCTGTGCTGTGACCAGCAGTTTCCGTGACGAAGTCCTTGTGAAGAGAGAAGGGTCCTCAGAGCGCGCTGCGGAGCGGGTAGGCTGTTCTCTGGCTTCCAGCGAGCCAGATGCCGACAGGAATGAAGGGCGCAGGACTCTGGTATGGAGGCGCCGGGGACGGATGGGAACAAGTGAATGGGGTTGGTGGGGGTGGGGGTACATCCTGGGCCATCGCTGAGAATTCGGGAGGAGGTCCTTTCTTCCAGAAAGGCCACCGAGTGGGAGAGCAGGTGCCTTCGGCTCCTAAATTCTGTCGCCTTGAAGCGAATGTTCTGATCCAGCTCCCAGAAGGGCGGTTTGGGCAGGTCAGCTCTTGCAGAGCTTTTCGGTTCTATTCGCTCCTTCATTCGCAAGTCCCTTCCTCGAGGGGAGAGCCTGGCAGTGTCCGGGCCAGGGCGGGCCAGGCCCTAGCCTGTGCGGCCGAAGCCTCTTCTGAGGGCTCTGGCCTGCTGGGCCCTCATATCCCGCAGACCCGGGGGGCTCTTTGGAGTCTGACCCAGAAGAGCCGCTGGCCACAGGCCTCATCTCCGAAGCAAGGTTGCCTGACACAGGAAGCACCCTGGGGTGCGTGCTGGTTCCCGGCTTCATGCCACAACCGGCCTCCCCGAACGGAACCCCCTTCTTTCCCTGGTAGAGCCGTCCAGGCCTTGGGCAGGTGCCCTGAGTCCTGTGCCTGCCTTTCCGTCCCCACTGCTGTCTGCACGGTGAGTGCGGCACTGCTGAGAGTGACGGCTGCTGTTAAAACAAACAACAAACAAAAAAAACCCCTGGCCCCCTGGCCAGTGTGGCTCCATTGGCTGGAGCGTCTTGTCATGAACCAAAAGGTTGCAGGTTCGATTCCCGGTCAGGGCACATGCTTAGGTCGTGGGTTTGGTCCCTGGTTGGGAGGCAACCGACCAATGTTTCTCTCTCTGTCCGCCCCTCCCTTCTCTCTATCGAAACAGCAGTGGGCGTGTCTTCAGGGGAGAATAAAAAAAAAGTCACATCATCAATATTTCCGAGTACTCGCAGTTCTCTCCGTGGTCCCCGCCACCCCACAGCTGGCCCTTCCCCTTTCCCAGCGTCCCTCCGCCCCCGCGGCCCCGAGAATAAAGGACGCTGTCGCCGTCGTTGCCCTGCAGACGTGGCTCTGCCGCCCAGCTCGCAGAACCTGACGCCCGTGCACTCCCCACGCGCCCCACGTGGTTTTTGTGACTCCCTGACCGTGGGGAGTTCTGCTCGGCCGCGTGGGCGGCAGCACCTGGTCACCTGTCTGTGTGCACGCTGGGCACACAGGCGTGGAGAGCGTGTCCTCTCCCACACGGGAGCTGTGTTCGCCCACGGCCATGGGAAACGTCCGCGTTGAGTTGGCATTTTTGTGCCCAGCTCTGTGGTCCCCCGCTAGCCGGCCCCCAGGTGCTGAGCGTGGACGGAAGACCCTGGCCTGGAGTGACACCCCCCAGCTCTGAGACGTGCTTTGGGGGCCTGGCTGGTCATCGGGCGCCTGCATTGTGGGGGGTTCGCCGAGCGGTGCCCTCCTGCCCCCGGGGGCGCTAGTAACGGCGAGTCCGTCCAGCACCAACAACCCCAGTCCTGCAGGTCGGTGGCGTGGCCAGGGCCGGCGGCCGTGTGTCCGGCTCCGGCGAGGCCTGGATGGGTCCTTTCAGAGAGGGGCCTGTCTCGTGCTCCCCTGTGGCGCCCGGCTCGAGGTGAGGCCCCCTGAGAGCGCCCGCTCCACATCCACGGTTCTCCCTCCCGGTGGGCGCGGGACGCTCTGGGCCTCGGCGAGTCCACGGGCCGCGCCCCAGGGGGCCGGCCACACGTCCGGCTGCAGAACAGTCGAAAGCATTCGATGTTCGTGATGTTCGGGGTGGCACATTGTGTGTTTTGATTATTTGGGGTTTTCGTGGTTTCCGCTTGTTCTTGGCCCCGCCCAGTGCTTTCCAGAAAGAGCCCGCTGACGACAGGAAACCAAAGAAAAATCAACGCATCGTGGCCGCCTTCACACACCAGCGGAAGTGCGGTGGGACCCAGGTTCTCCCGGGTCCCGGATGCCGTCCGAGGCGCTGCCCTCGCCTGGAGCTCGCTCCCACAGCCCCGCAGAGCCACCCCTGCCCCTCCCCCTCCCCCACGCAGATCGGCGCCTGCCGCCTGCCGGGCACTGGGGGTGCACGGCTGGGAGTGGCACAGGCCCGCACGGCAAGCCCCGTGCTGGGGGAGACAGGCACGCAGGGGCTCCCCGTCCGGTGGGGCGGAGCGGCACCCAGGGGTCCACAAGGTCCGGGCCAGCCTCCGGGGACGGGCTGCAGCGTGGGGGACAAGCGAGACGCTCTGGGGCTCCGAGGGGGGGCTTCGGGTACTCAGCCAACCAGGCGGGACGTGGCGCGGGGCACACGCGTGTCCTCTGCACGGAGCGTGGTGGGGCGGGATCGGGATGGGACGGGGGCTCTGCGGGAGAGCGCGTGGCAGGCAGGGGACCGGGGTGAGGCTGGGGATGGGAGAGGGACGGAGGAGGGGCGTCGGCCGGAGGGGCGGGGACGTCGGGAAGGCCGAGTGCAGCCAGGCGGTTTTGGGGAGACCCTGCAGGGTGGCTCTGGGGAGTCGCAAGGGCAGGGGTCCGTATGTGGGGGCAGGAGGGGCAGCGAGGTGGCACCTGTGAGGACAGGTGGGGGGGACCAGGCAGAGGCCGCCCCCACACGAGACCCAGGAGCCAGAGCCACATGCGGCTGACAGAGCCCATGAGTCACAGGAGGTTCCCCACCGAGTGCGGGGCTCCGGGGGAGGGGTTGGAAACACCCCTATTTGGGAAGAGAGACCACGCTGCCCAGGGCGAGACTCAGAGGTGCGTCATGCCCCCGTGGCTCGCCCGCCGGCGGTGTGACACCGTGGCGACGGCAGGCAGCGGGTCTGCACCCCAAAGCATGGAGGCTGAAGCCCAGGCTGGTCATGGGCTCAGGAGGACACGGGCCTGAGGTGCCAGGAGGCTACCCAGGAACTGGCAGCCCTGCCTCAGCCAATCCCGGGGCCGGCCGTCCATCCGCACGGCCGAGGGTGGACCCAGAACCCGCCCAGGCCTGGTCTGCTGGTCGGTGCTGCAGTCGCTGTCACGGAAGAAAGGCTGGTCCTTTTCCACCTGAGCTCCCTCTGGGGCCTGGACTGTGGGGGCTGGAGGACGCTCGGATGGGGCTCATGGGAGCCCTCTGCCTGGCTCCGCGGGGTCAGCAGGGAGTGCGCGGGCTGGGCTGGTGTCCGATCCAGGCCTGCATCTGGGCTCTCTGGTCGCTGTTCGTGTTAAGAGACACCCCGCCCCCCCAAGGCGGCGCTGTCCATGGTGCTGACATGGCGCTGTCCCTGGTGCTGACCCGCGGTCAGCTCCGCTGCAAGGTTGCCCCCCCTGCCCTGCTCTGCGTGCAGGCCAGCGAGCCTGAGCTCGAGCTTGGACGTGGGGTGCCGCTCGGCAGACAGCTTGGGGCACAAGGTCGGGGTGTGTGGGGGGTGTCGCTGCCTGTGTGTGTGGGGGGGGGGTGGTGCCCATGGGCCCTCCTCCGTCCGCCTTCACTGGCCCCAGCACTGGCTAAGGCCCCTCTGATGGTGCCCCTGGGGCCTGGTGGCCCAGTCTGACACTCCCCACCTGCACCTCGGCTCTCCTGCCCGCCGTCCCCAGAGCAGCCGCAGCAGGAGACATCTGTTCCCGACTCCTCGCCCAGCCCGGCTGTGTCTGCTGGCTCCTGACGGTCAGGCACAGCAGCACAATCCCCCCTCCCCCGAGAGTCCCCACCAGGTGGACTCATACTGGGCCCCCCCTCCCTGGCCGGCCACCCAGGGTTCCGGTGCTCTGGGGCACGCCCCTGCACGTCCTGTTGCAGTCATGGAAATGGACCCCCTTCCTTGCCGCGGTCCAGTCCCTGCCACGTCCCTTCCCTCATTCATTCGTTCGTCCATTCAGTCAGTCATTGGAACCCCGGCACACCAAAGCTAGCACAAGACGTAGGAAAGGGAGCCTTCCAGAAGGGAGGGGCGACCCAGCTGCTCACCAGCCCGAAATGTGCTCCGGAGCCAGGACACGGGCGGCTCAGGGCGCCTCCTGCTGCGCGAAACTCGCACATCTGCTGCCTCGCACCTCCCGCGGGGTTCGTCCCCACTCCCCCCGTCCCTTCTGAGCACCAGGAAGAATGGAAAAGAGCAAGTGGGCCCAAGTGGGTCCAACCCACTAACTCTGGGCACTTTGGCCCACGTTCAGAGCTCACGGCCTGGGCTGTTTTTGTTTTGTTTGTTTTTGCTGTGTTGTGTTTCTGGTGTCTGTGGGATTTGTGCCGCAGCTAGTGATAAAGCAGGAGAGAAAGGCTCTTAGATAAAACGGAGTTTCACCCATCCTTTAAAAGGACGGAGCTCTGGCCGGTGCCCCAGTCTGGAGGAAGCTTGCAGACACCACGGGAGGCAGACCCTGCGGAGTGCGCTGTGGGCAGTGTCCAGGGCCGTGGAACCTTCGTCCGACATGCCCAGAGCCCCAGGCCCCGAGCCCCCCATCCCTCCCCCAGGGATGAGAATTAGAGCGGTAGATGGGGTCCCCCCGGGGTGGAGCAGCACAAGCCCACCCCTTGCCTCTTTGGAAACAACCCTGGCTCTTCAGCCTGAGCCGTGGTTGTCATGGTGACGAGTGGTCCAGAGGGAGTGCGAGGAGATGCCGACAGGGAGGGAAGCGTGGGGCTGGCAGGCGTTTGGGGCCAATGATCCTGTGACCCTGTGTGGCCCGGGAAGGGGCACCTGTGCCATTTGCCGCAGGGGCACCGCGCGCCAGGGGAGCAGCCGCCCTTGCCTGGCCTCTTCCCCGGCGCATCCGGCCGCCCCGATGAGAATCTTCTGTCGCCGTGTCTGATGCCACTTACATGAGGCTCCTCCGGTGGTCAGATTGGTGGAGACGCCCCGGGTCGTGCTGGAAACAGAGTTCGCTTCGGAGGGGCCGGCTTTTCAGCTCCGCTGGACGAACAGAGTGTGGTGTCGGACGGCGGGGGTGGTTGTGGGACCGCGTGCACGCACCTGGTGCCGGGACCGTGCGCTTTAACGTGGTGCAGGTGGCAGAGGTTATGTGACGAGTGTTTTACCACAACCAAAAACAACACATTAGTGAAACTAGAAAACAGGACTGAAATAATATTTTAGAATGAAAGGGGGGCACGCGTCGTGAGAGAAAAGGCTGACTAACCGCCCCTGCAAACGCGCCCCCGCCCCCGCACGTAGACGCACGCACCGGCGTGCACCCGCGGCTCCCGGGATCGCGTCCCCTCGCACCCGGGTCTTGCTCCGCGGCCCGCGTTCCCGACGCCGGGAGCGCCGTCCTCATCTTGCGCTCCCCCGTTTCCAGGTCTGCAACGGCTCGGAGCAGCCCCGGAAGCAGCAGCGCTCCGACCTCAACGGGCCGGCGGACAACAACAACCTCCCGGAGGTAACTGCGCGGGGAGGAGCATCCCGGCCCCGGGGACTGGGCCCGGGGTGGGGCTGCCCGCCTGTCCGGTGCCTTCCAGCGGGATCCAGCCCAGCTGGGTGTCCCTGGAGCCGGAGGAGGCGGTGGCGAGGGCAGCCGGCCCGCCGGTGCGGACTTGCACCACGCATGTTCATGGGTAGGGGGTCGTCAACGCCCCCAGACTGGACTGAAGCTCATTCTCCCCATTGTCTGACATGCTCTAAACCCCAGTTTTTTCCACCATGGTACTGCCAACATCGGGGGCCAGGTGGTTCTGTGTCGGGGGACTGCCCTGTGCCTTAGGGGTACTTAGGGGCCTTCCTGTCTCTGACCACTGGATGCCAGTAGCAGCCCCTCCCCAAGTTGTGACAATGCCGGTGTCCCCTTGGGGAGAAAGCCATCCTGGTTGGGAAGGAACCCTGTTCTTCCCAGCAACATGAGTTTACGAAACAGCCCCGTACAAACAAACACGGCCACGGCAGAGGCTACGCCAGAAGTAGTAAGGTGGTTTGGGTGAGACTGTGTGACGCTGATGCAGTGCCGATGGCCCCGTGGGGTGGTGTCCAGTCCCCTCCATCTTGCTCTGACAGCCGGGCCTGGCAGCTCTCACGCCCCCTTACCCCTGGCGGGAGAGCCTTTGGGTTGGATGGCCTCTGGGTGCCCTTCTGGCAGTGACACGCTCATCTGAGGGTCCCCAAGGGTTAAGATGATGGCCTTTAGTTTTCCACAATTAACTTACTAATCCTCACCCCAGGATTTGGTTTCCTGGATTTTTAGAGAGAGGGAGCGGTAAGAGGGAAACACCAAGGGAGAGAGAAACAATGACTGGTTGCCTCCCATACACGCCCTGACCAGGGATCGAACCCGCAAACTTTTGGTGCACGGGATGACACTCCAAACCACTGAGAAACCTGACCAGGACTCTCTCTACTTAAGTTTTATGCATAACTACGGACACTGGTTTTCCCTTGGGCGCTGGTTTTCCCTGGGCAGTAGGTTCCCCACGCGCCCTCCTGCCCATCACAGTGAGACTTCCCGGGGAGTCCGGTTGTCGGGGGTGCGGCCTCCGCCTGTCCTGCAGGCCGCCCGCTCACACCTGTTGTTTCTCTCCTGACAGACGAAGAAGGTGGCCTCCTTCCCCAGTTTTGTGGCTGGTAAGTGACTTTGAGTTTTCTCTCTCGGGGACTGGAGGAGGGGCGGGGAGTGGGGGGCAGCTGCACTTTCTGTCAAAGCAAATGATACTGTTAGCTTTTCGGGGACCGGGGGTGGTGCAGGTTCCCCTGCAAAGCCTGTGTGGAGAGCGCAACTCCGAGGTGGGGAGGACGCCGGGAGTGGAGGTCCATGCGCATTTGTTTACGCAGCGCCGCTGAAGCCTCTCTCTGGTGTGTGTCGCGGGTCCGGTTAGTCGAGGCACAGCCCACCGGGTAGGCCACGCCCTCCGATTACTCCGCCGCCACTGCGGGCTCGCACACACGGCCGCCGAGGGTTGGACTGAGAGACTGAACGTGTCTGCACCAGCAGCCAGCTACGATTGCGCACTTCTGATGAGAGTGGACGCCGTAGGTCTGAGTGCGGGCTGCTCCTCCGGTTTCCGGCTCTTCCCCTCCACCCTCCTGTCCTGTCTGTTTGGAAGAGGTTATTGTTGCATTTCAACATTTCTTTAAAGCCAAACGGATTGACCCATTCTGTATCAACCTGGGGGGCGTGGAGCGTACTTGCTGGGCTTTGGGGTGTGCCAGGTAGCCTTGGGGGGCCCCACAGGAGGTTCCCCGATTCCATGGCGAAGAATCCCCTACGTAGGGTCTCTCTCTCTGCCAGAAAGGTGTCTCCTGCCCTTGCGACTGCATTACCTCAGACAAGGTCACCTTGGTTCTTTCAATAAGCCGGTCATTCATTTTACGGAGGCAAATGGATCTGCAGAAACTGCAGACCTTTCTCACCCCGTTTTTTGTTTTTTAACCTCACAGCAGTGCGTTTTCTGTGGTCACTCCTTTCCTGTGGTCCCCACCCCCAACCCTGCCCCTGGGAAGTGTCAGCCCACCCTCCATCCTTAGGGCCCGTTTCTGTTCCGTGGTGTTCGTGCACTGGTTGTGGGTTGTTTTTAGACTCCCCATGTGGGTGAGATCCCCCAGTGTTTGTCTTTCTCTGTCTGGCTGACTTCACTCCATGTGGTGCCCCCTCGGGCCACCGTGCTGTTGGGAATGCAAGATTCCATTCTTTCTTGGAGCGGGTAACACCCCTGCAAGTATGCGTGTGTGTGTGCGTGCGTGTGTGTGTGTCTGACTCCTCCCTTCGTTCCCCTGCGGGCACTCACACTCCGCTGTCACTGGTAGCGCGGCTGTGGGCACTGGGCTGTGTCCGCCGTTCTGAGTGCGTGTCTCTGTGTTTTGATAAATACCCAGAAGCGGCGTGGGGTGGGGTATATGGTGGCTCTGTGTTTGACTTTGTGAAGACCCCCCGTACTGTTTTCCGTGGCTGCACTAATCTGTAATCCCGCCAGCCGTGCACGGAAGTTCCCCTTTCTCCACGTCCTGGTCAGCACTCGTCTGTGGGTTTACGGGTGGTGGCCACTCTGACGGGCGGGAGGTGACAGCTCAGCGTGGTTTTAATCTGCGTCTCCCTGATGATCAGTGACACTGAGTGTCTTTTCACGGGTCTGCTGGCCGGCCATGTGTCCCGTTTGAAGGAGCATCTACTCAGGTCCTCTGTCCGTTTTTAAATGGGTTTGCTTGTTGGGGTTTTATGTTTTGCATTAAGTTGTATGTTGTACATTTTGAATACTAACCCATATTCGATGTTTCATGTGCAAACATCTCCCCCCCTTCAGTGGCTGTCTTTTCATTTCGCCAACAGTTTTCTTCACTGTGCATAAACTCTTCAGTTTGACACAGTCCCCCTGGTTATTGTTTATTTTGTCTCCCTTGTCCAAGGAGGCCTACCAAAAGGATACGGCTGAGTGTGATGTCAAAGAAAGGCGTTTTCGTCCACTTTGAGTTTACTTTTGTGTGCAGTGTGGGAAAGTGGCACAATCTGTCCTTCCCTCCCCTCTCTCTCTTCCTTGCTTGCATGCATCTGACCAGCTCCCTCTGCACTGCGTACAGAAGAGACCCTCTCTGTTCCCCCGTGTGTTCTTGCCCCTGCTGCCACAGGGGGACTGATCGCAGAAGCAGGTTCGGTCGTGGGCTGTCTGTCCCGTGGGCCTGTGCATCTGTCTGTGCCGGGTCCCTGGCCTGGGGATGACTGTGGACCTGTCGTGAGTACACACCAAAGCGGCTCTTCTTCTCCGCAAATTCGGCGCGTGAGCCCGTCTCTAGCGCTCCACTGGGCATGAATAGGTTGAGACGTGTCTTAAAATAGTGGCTTTTATTCCCTGGTAGGGGTTTGTTAGGGTTTCTGTGGCTCGTGTTTGGGTCAAGACAAGAATGAAAAGTGAATTCGACCCTGGAAGTCTCCTTGTCTCTGTGCATCCCAGACCTGGAGTCCCTCCCCGTGGAGGAAGCCACTGTGAGACATCTTGTGAATCCTTCCAGGAATTTCCTGGACGCATGCAGGCCTACATACAAACCTTTTGCTTAGACTAGACGTCTACCTGGCCTCTGGGGTCTGCACCTCGCTTTTTCATTTCCCAGTAGATCTTGGAGACGACATATCGACCCCCCAATTGTTTCCGTGACCGAGCAGGGTCCCGGGACAGGGACGAGTGACGGTGGTAATTAGTCTGCAGTGAGAGCGGTGGTGAGTGGCCTCGCGGATGTGTCTTTGCGCTCAGGGGCGCGTCCTGTTAGAGCCCCAACAGGCCAGCAGCCGCGGACTCAGACCCAGCTGGCCGGGCTGCCCCTCCAGAGCAGGGGGCGGGGCAAGGGTGGGGGCCGGGCAGGTCCCGCCCTCGGTCCGTCTCAGTGCGGCTCCCCGACGCCCAGCACCTTCCACCTGCTGGGCCTTCGCCCCGGCGGACCGGTGACAAGCCGGGTCTCGTTCCCTCCAGGTACCTGGCTCCCGTCGGGGGTGAAGCCAGACTCCTCACTGCACGTTTGCACGCGGTTTGCGGTTCTCTTCCTGGGCGGCGTCGGTTTCCTCTCCTCTGTCGGGTTTCGGTTTTTCGTACTGACTTGTGCTACTCTTTCCACAGAAAGGAAATGAGCACTTTGGTGTTTTTTGCTAACATTTTCCTCAGGTTACTGTTGTCTTTTATGATTTTTTTTTTGGGGGGGTACATTTTCTATCTTGCTGAACATTTTACGTAGTCAAATAGACTTGTCATTTTTCCCTGCGTTTTTGAGGGTAGTGTGACCATCACGCTTCTAAGATTTATTTCCTTAAATCCTTATCTGAGGACAATGCTTATTGATTTTACAGAGTGGGGGAGGGAGGGAGGGAGAGAGAGAAACATGGATCAGTTTTCCCCCATGCGCGCCCCCCTCCCCCCACGGGGATCCCACCCACAACCCAGGCCCGCCCCCTGACCGGGACGGAATCCTTTTGGTTCACAGAACGATGCTCCAACCAACCGAGCCACACCAGCCAGGGCAGATTATTTTTTGAAATAAACTTTTATTCTAGAACTCTTGTGATTTTATTTTAAATTACTTAACTGTTTGATTTATGTGGAATCTGTAGTCGCCCGCACCTAGGTCTGTTTCTGGCCCTGTTGCCCCCATGCGCCCGCTCAGGGGCCAGGCCCAGGCCGCGGGGGTCTTGCAGGGACCTCAGCGCCCCCGTGTGGCCACCCGCCCTCACCGCGCCGCCCTGCTCATGGCGGCCACGGGGCCTCGCGTGTAGTTATTTTTTTCTAGAAATTTTAGAATCAGCTTACCTAGTTACACAATAAAAATTCCTGTTGTTTTATTTCATGCCATTTTATTTCGGTTCAGTTTATTTCATTGTATTTTACGCGCGCCATGCATTACCATGTCGACGCAGGAGAAAGCACCTGCGTGACTGTATAGAATGTTCCATCCCCAAAGGGACTTCGCTTTCCGTTTATTCTGGGTTTGTAATCACTCAGATTTCATTCATAAAAATTCAGCTTATACGTTGTGAGTTTATTCCTTGCAGTTTTATTCTTTTCATTGCCTTTGTAAACCTTATTATTTTTGTTTTACTCTTTTTTTCTAACTGGTTGCTATTTATAGCTCCAAAGAAAGCTATTGGGTTTTTTTTATATATTAAATTTGAAACCATTGCCTTCATGAGTTCTTATTTTTTAAATGGATGTTTAGTTATTTTCTTATTTTTTTTTAGGGAAACAAACTTATTTATTCTATTTCTCTACGAGTAAGAATGGTTTGTGCTGTTTCCCGTCTTGCTCTCTGTTCTGTTTCCCTCTTCTGTACTTGGCTTAGGTAGAGTGCGAGGAACGGTGTAATACATAACAGACAAGAGTGACATTAAAAAGTGACAGGTTTTTGAAGGACCCACCCATTTAATTACATCATAAACAACTTCAAGCATATGCAAAAGTGTACCTGACTAATGGACCATGTTTAAGGCTAATGCGTTGATACATACTGGCCCTTTCTCAGGACCACACATAGTTTTGACATTTGTCCCAGACCCTCGTTCTTGAGCACACAGACATAATCCCGCCTTTGTGTTAATCCACGATTCACACAGCAGCCTCAGAGTAACCGTCCCAACACCCAAGCGCACCTGACTGCAGGTGCCGCAGAAGATCGGATGGCCCTGACCTCGGTCTTTGGCCCGCAGCCCACGAGGGCGGACCCTCAGACCGCCGTGCGCTCCGAGATCGTCTGAACTAGTTCTCCTCCGCGTGGGCTCGCCCGGCCTGGACGCGCCTCCGGATTCACGCTCCTTTCAGCGCCCTTGACCTCCGGTGTGCGGCTCCGTGAACCGCGTGGCTCTGGAGTGAGGTCCCCGTGGCCGCACGTGCAGCGACGTCTCCTCCTTCCCACTGTGGACATCGGTTTTGATGTTTCCCACGTTTGTTTTCTAAGCCTGTCTTCTCCTTTCTTAGGCAGACGGGAGTGAATTAGACGTCCTTGTCTCCGTCTCGGGTTTTGTACTCAATACGACATCCCGGAGATTAGACGCAAGGCCCACACAGGCAGTGTATGCAGGTCCCACCCTGGGCGGTGGTGGTTCCCAGTGCGGGTGACTGGGGCAGTTCCCAGGTTCTTTCCCCTGTAGTGAGCAGCCCCCAGCATCTTCCTGTTTGTGCCGGGTTTGCGCTCCCTCTGCTCCCGCGACCCCCGCACGCCTGTGCGCAGGGCCTGTCGTGGGCAGCCTGTGCGTGGTACTGAGTCTGACTTCGACTCCGTGTGATTGCTTCTCTCCCGCCTGGCAGCCAGGGGCTTTGCTGGCCCGTGGGGTGTCAGCAGCCCATGCAGGAACTGTCAGACCCTTTCCACGGGGGGTCAGCCAGCCCGTCCTGCAGACCTGGGCACAGCCTCTCGCCGGGGACCGTTCTGTGGGTCTGCATGTCCAGACGGCGTCTTCTCTCTCCTGTCAGCCTTTCAGCGTCACCAGTAACGGGGGGCTTCTCGGAGGCACGCCGTGTGGCGGCGTGGGGGGCAGGTGGGACCCTTTCAGGGCCTGGACACCACGCTCCGGGGCTGTGGGCAGCAGGCCCCCCACCCGAGGGCCTGTTTCTCAGCCCTGACATCCCCCACTCCTGCCCCTCTGCCCCTTCTAGTCCACCTCCCCAGGGCCAGCTCTTGCGCCGATCTGGTGACCTCTCTGACGTGTGGCCTCCACGCTCCTCTGGCCTCACCTCCAGATGGGCCACCACCAGCGGCCCCCCTTCTCCTGGTCGCGCCGAGGCCCCCCTGCGTGCTGGGCCCTCGCCCCCTCAGGCATCTTCTCTTTTCTGTCTCACCCACTTCCCCTCCACTGGCTCCGAGCACGTCTGTCCTGTCCTGGGTCTGTCCACAGCCCCCAGGCTCTCCTTAACCGGAGTTTGGGAGTGGCTGCCCCAGGGTCCGCACCTCCCCCCCCCCCAACCCCTCAGTTCACCGGAGGCTTCTGCCTGGTCTTCTCTGACGGCTCTCCAAGGTCATGACCAGCTTCCTTGTCACCCTGACGGGAAAACAGGAGGGCTCTCTGTTCTCCCACTGGCAGCTGGGTGTGCGCCCCCACCCCCACTCCGTGCTGAGGCTCTGCTCTCCTGACCGCTGTCTGTCCCCTGTCTGTCTCCCGGCTTCTGGGCTGCGGGTTTGCCGCCCTCTGCCTGCCCATGGGGCGTCACTGCTCCGCGGGGCTGGCCCTGGGCCCCCGCCTGCCCTGGGCTCCCGCCTGCCCTGACCATTCGGCCCAGTCTGCAGCCCCACTGGGCGCCACACCCCGTGCATTCCGGCTCCCAAGTCCGGCTGCCTGCTGAGCTGCTTTCGAAGGACTCCCGGCTCCTGCAGCTGAACCTGCCCGGAATTCCCGCCCCTAGCTCAGCCCTCTCACTGGGCCCCTCCCCCATGAGTGGCAGCTCCGTTCTTCCAGTCCTGATTCCTGGCCCTCCTTGTCCTCTCCTGGCACTGCCTCTGGTCTTCCGGTCCTGTTGAGAGCATTCAGCCTGTGGTGCCTCACAGGTCTCATTGCTGTCACCGTCACCGTCTTCATCGCCATCATCATCACCACCCCACCACTTGCCAGGACCCGTAGCAGCCTCAGCTGCTCCCCTTCCTTGCTCTCTGCTGTCCGCCTCTCTGCAGCCAGGGTCACTTTCTGAAGCCAGTGTAGTCGGGCCACTTCCCTGACCCACACCCCGTAGGGACAGCACTGGCGAGGCCCCAGGGCCCTCACATCTGGCTGCTGCTTTGTCTGTGGCCTCGGCCCGTTGCAGCTGCCGGCCTACGCCTACCCAGGCGTGTGCATCTTCTGTGGCTCACCTACGGCACTGTGCTCCCCGTGACCCCAGGGCCTTTGCGCCTGCTCCTGCTTCAGCCCAGAAAGCCCTCCTGCTTCCTCCTGTGGCTTGTTGGCTCCTGTGCGCCCTGCAGACCTCAGCCCCAAGGGCAGCCACGCGGCACCTCCGAGGGCAGGTGTCCCTGTCACTCCTTCCCCGGCATGGTGCCCTTCCTGGGGTTCGCCACCGGCCACCCTGGTGCTTTCACTCGGCCCCAGGGGCCGGCCTCAGCCTGTGAGCTCTGTGTTTTCCATGGAGCACCACCCGTAGACGGGGCCGGGGCTCCGAACCGCGCAGTCCCTGCACTGGCGAGGGCGATCCTGGGCAGAGCCACCGACACGACTCGGGCTGTCCTCGCGGGCGCAGTTGGGGCACGGAGGCCCGCCCCGTGGGCTGGAGGACTGGGCGGAAGGAACTGGGTGGGGCTACGCCTGGAGGCCCTCCGGGGGCACGCCACACTCCCAGCCGCCCCCTCGAGCAGCCTGGGGGGAAGCAGGCACTGGTCTCGGGGCTCATGAGACCCCCCACCCCGCGGCCAAAACAATCATTGGAGACTCTGTCCACACCCACCTTCAGGGGCGGCAGGGGCGGGGCTCCACACACTGCTCTGGGGGTCCCCCACCCTCACCCCCTTCCCCGAGAGAAGTCGAGAGTCTGCAGGCCTCGGGCGCTCAGCCGAAGGCTCCATGGGGGGGGGGGGTCCGGGCGCCTTATTCTTCCCGCAGACACATCCCACTCACACCCGTGCGAGTATGAATGTCGTCGAAGGGAAACAAAAAGGAGGGACCACCACCCTCTGGGGAGGCTGTGTCTCTCCCGATCCTCCATCTTCGGTCCTTTGACCTCCTGACCCCCGCTGGCGGTCCCGGCTCGGGGGCAGCTCACGAGCTGAGCCCAGTGAGAACAGTTTATGCTCTAAAGGGCCGGCCGGCTGCTTTCGCGCAGTGACAGAGCCGTTTGACTTTTGCATCCGCCTTTGTGACCGCAGCTGAGGGCTGTGTCTGCGGGACCCCGCCGCCCTCCCCCCACCGCATCGGCTGCCCTGCTGTTCTCTGCCTCCTGGTTTTCTGCCCTGACATGGGGGGGCGCCAGGTCCGCTGGGCAGGCTGGGGCACCTCGGGCCCCCTTTGCAGGATGGCTTCCTGTTTGAGAATGAGCAGGACGGAATGACAAGCGCCCCCTGGAGGAGGGCTGACTGCTGGGTGCAGGTGTAGCAAAGCCCTGACCCCTCACTCGAGTCTCCCCAGGGAGCAGCTGCCTGTGATTGTGGGGTGGGCACCCTCTGCCCACACGAGTCCGTGTCCCCAGCTGGGCCCAGACCTGGGGAGGCTCCCTGCAGGGCGCACGGGGCCCAGCTTAACTCAATCTATGGGGGATGGGGATTGCAACGGGTACGGGGACTTCAGGAAGGGCCAGTGAGCTGACCGAGGGGCTGGCAGATGGCAAGTTCAAAAACAGTGGCCTTGGCAGGTGGAGGTTGATCGGAAGGGAAGGCCTCGCCCCCACCCCAGGGACTGGGGGCCCATGGGGTGCCATGCCAGCCTGCACTCCCCAGATAGGCCATGGGGACGCTTGCCAAGGCCTGGTTCTGGTGGCGGCTGAGGAGAGGGGGCAGTTACCCCAAGGCTGCTGGGACTACCAGGCCTTTCCTGCAAAGTGACGCCATCTACTGGTCAGTAGCAGTCACTGCAGGGAGGAAGTGACTGGCCCCACCACAGGTGACTGCTGGCAGATGACAGACTCCAGGAGCTGACTGGACCCAGGGCTGCAGGGGGGGTGGGGGGCATGGGGAGGGGTTCCTTCTGCTCTGTGCTCCCAGCCCTCCTCAGCTGGGGGCGGGTCTGTCACCTCTAGAGCGAGGACCGAGGCACAATTGCTGTGGTGACTGCTTCCACGCATCCGCAGAGCCCGAGAGGGTTCTGATCTGTCCCTCACAGAAAAGCCCGCTGACCCCTCGCGGCAGCAGCCTGTCCAGTGCAGATCCACTCACCGCGGCCGGCTGTTTGCATGTACATGAGTTAATTATGCATGAAGTTCAGAAGTTCAGTTCGTTCGTTGCCCTGGCCACAGTTCAGGCGCCCAAAGCTGTGTGTGACCTGCGGTCCCGTGTGGAACAGTGCAGAGATGGGACATTCCCTGTCGTGGCAGAAAGTTCCGGGGACCGCGCAGGCGTGGAGGCAGCGGGTGGGACCAGCACCGCGTGCACTGGCCGCACCGGGGGTGCGGAGGATGGCAGGGCCCAGAGGGCTCCGGGCCAGCAGGAGCCCCGAGAGCAGAGAGGCAGAGAAGGCTCTAGAAGAATCAGAGGGTGACAGGCCGTTTCTGTCACCATCCTGAGTTCTACAGGGTTCCGGGGAAGGCACAGGAATGCTGCCGTGTTGGGGAACGGTAATCTTCTGGAATGGGAGGCCCTGGCTGTCGCCTTGGAGGTGGCAGAGCCACCTGGGCTCCAGAACTGTCGTCCTGACAGAGTTTGTGCACAGTTTTCTGACCCGAGGGCTGGCTGCGCCGCGGGCCGTGCAGCCGCCCGCCGCCCTCCTCTGTCCCGCGGGCGGAGGCTGACCGTGCCCCTTCAGTTCCAGGGCCCTGCGAGCCGGAGGACCTCATCGACGGGATCATCTTCGCGGCCAACTACCTGGGGTCCACCCAGCTGCTCTCGGAGCGGAACCCTTCCAAAAACATCCGGATGATGCAGGCGCAGGAGGCCGTCAGCCGGGTTAAGGTAGGGGCGGGGCGGGGCGGGGCGGGGCCAGGGCGCAGGCAGCTCAGACCCACCGCCCTCCGCAGGAAAACCTGAGGCGCCCGGCCAGGCTGGGGTGGGCTTTGGCCTCAAGCAGGAGGGCCCTGGGCTAGGGCCACAGGGCAGCTCGCTCCGTAAAGAAGAACTGCCCCGGTCCCTGCCCCCTGGGCAACAGGACGTGGGGGAGAGGGTACTGGGAGGTGTGCGGGTCATACGACATGGTATGTGGGGTTCGAGTTCCGGTCCGACAGCCTGGGCCCTTAGCGCCTGTTGAGGTGCCGCCCGTGGAAAGGGAGACAGACGTCACCTTTCATTTCACTTCGTGACCTCCAGGAAACTGGGGCCTACTTGAGCTCTGGGTGTGGCCGGGCTTCTGGCCAAGCCAGCGAAAGTCATGGGGTCGGGGTGAGGGGTGCGGTGGACTGCGGTTGCTGCGCCCCTGTCGGGTGACGAGCTGCGTCAGCCCCTCCCCTGTCCTCCCTGTAGACACGACCTCTTGTGAGCGAGGGGAAGGGATGTGGCGCCTGAGCCCACCAGAGGGCAGCACTGAGCCCGCCCACGGGCCCTACGGCTCTGCAGGCGGGGCCACTCTGCCCGGTGCTCAGTCCCGGGGGTCGGCCCCGGGGGTCGGGTGCTGGAGGGATGTGAGAGGGTCTCTCCGCGGCGTGCTTGCCCGCCGAGGGGCTGGCTGCTCACCTGTCCCTGGGCCGAGGTCTGAGCCCTGGGCTGTGGACCCCAGAGCTGCCGCCCTCTCCTCCTCCAGGCGCCCACATGTTTGTCTTTGTTTTCTCTCTTGCACGCTGCTCAGAGGATGCAGAAAGCTGCTAAAATCAAGAAGAAAGCGGTGTGTAGGCCTGCGGGCCTTCCTGTGTTTCTGTGGCTTGTGCTGTGTGGGTGGCGGGGCGGGTCCCCCCGGAAGCAGGTACCATGGCGAAGGGCGTTCCCTCCGCCCTTGTGGGTAAATGCTAGACTTTCGAGTGAAACCACACTTTTTCTTTTAAACCCTCTGCTGACGGAAGAATGCAATCACGGCCCTTTTGTCTTTCTCATCTTCCTTTGAGGCTCTGAGTGCCGGAATGTGCTGGAACGTGGTTAATGTGGCGCTGTTACTGTTTTGCATAGGCGTTTTTAAGTGTGGCATTTGCCTGGGCCTCCTGCAGAGAGTTAATTAAATTGTTCCGATATTTAAAGACTCATTAAGTTTAATTTACTAAATCTGGTGGATGAGAGGTTCAGTTCTCCCAGGAGACGCCGTCTCCAGTGGAAATCTCCGGAGTCCGGACAGACTCTCAGAAAGCGGCCACCTTCCCTCCCGCGTTTGCAAACCTGGTCATGCAGTCAAGGCCGGGCACCTTCTCACTGCCCCCCACGCACACCCGCCCACCCCTGCACCGGAAGTAGCAAGTGCCCTGTGGGAGAAGGCTCCCAGCTCCGGCTTCTGGCTTGAACAGCGAGCCAGGAGCCAAGTTGTCTGGGGGTGTGGCCAGAGGACCCTGCCCGGGGCTCCCTTTGCTCTGAGGGGACATTTCTGTCCCAGTGCGACAGGTCTGGGTGCAGGCAGACGGGGCTCCGAACAGCCTCAGCTGCAAGGCCGGCCCATCTCCCCCCGTGAAGGGCTGGCTGTCCCTCTTCCAGGCAGGGAGGTGCTCAAGTTCATTGTCAAGGACCCCTTTTCTGATCTGCCCACAGCTGGCCAAGCGAATGACCACAGGAGGTGCTCCCTGAGCCCAGGGCCCCAGCAGAGCGCCCACCCCCCCAACACTCACTGGTGACTCTCGGGGCACGGTCCCCACCCACAGACGTGCCCACCCCATTGTCTGGGCCCCTCTGTAGGATCCGCTCTGTCCCGGCAGAGAGTGTGACCGTGACCTGGCCTGGTCCCTGTCATCAGGCAGGGCTCAGCTTCCCACGGTCGCTCCCCAGTTTGAGCGCAGGTCACGTTCCCCCCAGAACCATCAGGACGACGGAAAACCAGAGTCCCCCTGCCCCTTCTCTCCTTCCGTCCTGACCTGCTTTTCACCAAGAAGGATCTGGGCTGAAATGCCAGGAGATAACCTTTAAAAGCATCCGGATGCGGAGTGTAACCCGGTTTGTAAGACCGGGGAGAAAGGGACCCCCCTGCAGTCCCGCAGACTGGTTTGCATGGGCATGTTGTGGATGCTCTCGTCTTTAGAGCCGTGTAAGAGCAGTGCCACCCCGTGGCGAGCCCAACGGCCCGGAAGACTCCCCCCCAACCCCGAACACAGCAGAAACGCAGATCTGTCTCGGTGGCAGGGGGCTGCCGCCTGCCACCCGCCAGACTTGAGGAATTGCTGGGAGGGGCCTTTCTGAGTCTGGATTTGCCAGCGAGAAATTAAGTCACAGCTTCTCGCTCTCTGGAAGCGGGGGATGCAGTACTGCAGGCCCCTGGGTGACCACAAAGAATGGCTCCCCCCCATCGCAAACCAGAGGCGCTCGAATGGCATCGGCGCCCCGAGGTAGTAATCAGGGTCCCCCGGATGCGCCGACCCACTGGTCGGGCTTGGGGGGGACCCGAGTCCTCCCCAGGCTGCTGGGACTTTTCCTGTGCTCCTACGAACGGCCAGGCAGTGAGCATACTCCAGGAGGTGACAGAGCGGGGGCCCTTGCGTGACAGCGTCCCTAGGAGGGCCACATGCAGCCCGGGTGGGGGGCTGGCTCCCCTGAGGGTGCTCGGAAGGCGGGGACCGAGCCCGCTCACGGGGCGTGGGCACGACTGGCTGCTTCGATTGGCAGGAAATGCTGACGTTGGAATGCAACTTCTTTGAAAACGTCTCCCCCGTTTCCCGGGGATACGCAGAATCCCAGATCCGGGGCACGGAGTCTGGGGGCGCAGAGCATGCCTCTGCTGAGTCTGTCCGGTTTCGGGGGGCGGAGGGACTGCCCTCTGGCCGCTGCAGCGCGGGCCCTGGGCGCCGGGTCCCCCTCCTGCTCGGCTCCCGCCCGCCGTCCCTCCTCCCTCCTCCTCCGGCTCCCCGCCTCCCAAGCTCTCTCGCTGCGGAGCGCACGCCAAGGCGCTCGCACCGGCTCCCCGAAGGCTGCCCCACGCCGCGTGTCCCCGTAGGGGCGCTCGGCCGTGCTGGCCCCGTCGGGCTGTGTTCAAGCTGGGGCTCCTGGTCTGTGACCGTGTCCACTGTCCGTCCTTAGAACTCTGAGGGGGACGCGCAGACCCTGACCGAGGTGGACCTCTTCATCTCCACCCAGCGGATCAAGGTGTTGAATGCGGACACACAGGTGAGTGTGTGGAGGCTGCTGTCGGGATGCGTGCAGCGGCCTCCCGACGCCCCACGTGGGCTCCAGGGCCGGGTCTGGCTGTGGGGCAGGGTGAGTGTGGGTGGCCGGGGTGGAGGCCGGCTGGGCGGTCCTGCGCTGTGGCCCAGCTGCCCCTTGGAGGTGCTGGGCCGCCTGTTGGGCACGGGCCACTGCCAGCCGAGAGCGTGTCCGAGGGAGTTGCCGCAGGAAGGTGGTTTGACAGCCTTGCAGCACCAGCCCAAGGGCTGAGGAAGGGACAGGGGTCAATCAGGGCGGAGCAGGGACTGGCAGCCACCTTGGTAGGAGCCATATTGTCCCACTGTTGTGTTGGTGGGCGGCAGCCCTGCTGGCGGGTGACCCTGCTGGCAGGTGACCATGCTGGCAGCCGTGTTGGCGGGTGGCCCTGCTGGTGGGTGGGCAGCGTCCTCCTGTGAGGACAGTGGCCGTGCCATCGGCCTGAGCTGGGTGGGTCCTGGAGAAGCAGCATATTCCCGACACCTGGAGATGGATTCGGGCACCTCTCGTGGTGGCCAGGGATCGGGAGGTGGTGAAGAGCCCCCCCGCCCCAAACTGTCTGGTTCTGGTGTCTTGTCCTGAAATGTGGGCCCTGTGGCCACAACACCCCCCCCACCCCACCCCCATAGCTTTGGCTGGACAACAACCCCGCTCTGTGGAGACAGACGCGGAGCGGTGCTCTCTGCAGAGACGGATTCTCTGAGGTGGGAAGGGGCCTCGGGGGCTGCAGAAACTCCGGCCTTCTTTTGTGGGCCGGGGACAAAGGCGTGACAGACTGAGCGATTAGTTTCCCAGCGCCAGCGCCGGGGCCGGCCGCCTGGTCAGTGGGGAGCGGGGTGAGGTGTCAGAGGACAAAAGCCATCGGGTGACGCCCCCCGGGGCCAAAGAACTGAGTAGGAGTCCGGTGCCATGGTGTCCCCTGGCCGTGCCCAGGCAGCCTGGGCGCACTTGAAGGACGCGCCCATGCACAGCACCGGCCTTGAGGTGTCCCCTCTACTCGCCGGAGGTCCGGGCCAGGCACACACCTTGCGGGGAGGGGACCCTCCCCCATAAGCACAGGTGGCCTCTGCTCGGGTGGGGACTGGCTTCTCTGTGGGGCAGGCCCCCCGCTCCTGACGACGGCCCGTGCCCAGCACCCTGCTCCAGGGGCATCCCCTCGGGAGCTGTGAACTAAGGCCTGGTCCTCAGCCTGGGGCGGCTCGTCCGTCCAGGGGGTCTCGCAAGGGCTGGAGGTCTCTGTGGGTGTCACATCATGAGGAGGTATCGGTGCCCCTGACTTCTCGGGGGCGGAGGCTGGGGATGCTGCTCAGCCGCCACAGTGCGCGGGGCAGAGGTTCACGTCCAGAGTGGTCCGGCTGCCCCCCACCTCCCCGGCAGCCTGGCGCGCTCCCTGACTCGGACCCCGCCCCGGCCCGGCAGGAAACCATGATGGACCACGCCCTGCGCACCATCTCCTACATCGCGGACATCGGCAACATCGTGGTGCTGATGGCCCGGCGCCGCATGCCGCGCTCGGCCTCGCAGGACTGCATCGAGACCACGCCCGGCGCGCAGGAGGGGAAGAAGCAGTACAAGATGGTGTGCCACGTGTTCGAGTCGGAGGACGTGAGTCGCCGCGCCAGCGCGGTGGGCGGGGCGGGGGCCGCCCTCCCCGGGCTGGGGACCCGGGGCGTCTCTGGGGGCGTGGCCCGCGGGGCGGTGGTTTTCTAGCTCTGAGTTGGCGGAGGGCGGGAGCACGGCTTTACGTCGCGTCCTGACGCCAGTTCGTCGGGCGCTGGGTCTGGGCTGGACCGCGGTCAGACGTGCGGGACAGCAGCGGGCAGAGACCCCCACACGCCTCTTCCCTCCTAACACAGCGCGGCCGCGGCTCACTCTGCCGCTGTTGGGACGCGGGACGCGGTGTCGGCACCTGCCCGGCCACTGTGGCTAGCTCTGCTTTCGCTCCAGGTCACTTAAGGTCCTAGCGCGAGGAAAAGCTATTCGGAAGTTTAAAAGGCGGTAGACTCGCTTAGGGACCGGAAGGCCTTGCAGGCCTTGCATGGGGGCGGGGCGGGGCGGGAGGTCTTTCTGGGCCTAGAGGCAGCACAGGGACAGAGAGGGTGCTGCAGCCGGTCCCTGCGCTGGCCCCGCAGGCGGACCCGCCTGAGGACCCCGGGAGGCCGCTGCCGGCCGTCCCGCGGGGAGAATGTTCATGTCGCTCTCCCTCCAATGCGGACACGCGGGAAGGGCGTTCTTGCTCGCGTCCGGACTGGAGTGTGTGTCCGGGACCTGGCACCGCGGGGGAGGCGTGTGTGAGGGCAGGGCAGGCACAGGCAGTCACCAGCCTGCTTGCTGGGACATTGATGTCACCAGAAGCGCTCTGAGGCCGTGGCCCATGTACAGGAGAAGTTTAAACTCAGACCCCTGGTTCGCCCACCCGTCCCCTCCCCCATGTGCGGGTGTCCGGGACACTGGATGGCGCTTTGCTGTGGCTCTGGGCTGGGGGGGCAGTGTAGAGACCTGGTGGGAGGGGCTGCGGGATGCCGCCGCGCTGAGGGTGCGAGCTGGGGACGCTGCTGTGGCCGCGCCGTCAGCTTGGGGGGGACAAGGCTGAGAGCTGGGGGTGGGGGGTGCATCCTTGTCCCTGAAGGAGCGAGAGAAGGCCCACAGTGGGGTGTGAGGGGCGAGAGTATGGGACCCGGCTGGCCTGTGACAGCAAATGGGACATTTGGGGGAAATGGGGGACAGCATTGAGGGCCCCGGCAGGGCTCTTCCAGCCTTAGTTTCCCCTCCAGGCCAGGGGAGGGGAAGGGCACAGGTGACCTCCCTGCAGGAGGCCACCTCTCGGGCCGTGCAAGGTCCCCACCTGCAGGGGCCAGGCTCCGGGCTCTGGCTGGGAGCTGGGGGCAGGGAGCCAATGGCATGTGCAGCAATGCTTGGGGTCCTGGGCTGCCCCCCGCCCTGGGGGGCCCTGGGGTGGTGGCCTCGCTGTCTGCAGGAGCGTCCTGGGGTGGGGCTGGCTGTGCCGGCAGGACCCAAGGCAGGTTCCGAGGACAGTGGAAGCTGCACTCCCACCCACCTGGGGCACTCCCAGACCACCCTTCAAGCCCGGGTGCCTTGATGTAGACGGGCCCGTGGCCCAGACAGCCACCAGCAGCAGCCCTGTGACCCCAGGGAGGCAGGGCTGGTCCTGGCCTCCTGGTCCCTGCTCTGCCCTCCCCAAGGCCGTGTTCTCAGCGTCTGTGGGGACTTGGCGGTTCTCAGATGTGTGCAGGCTGTGGCGTCCCCGGGTGCTGGCCCTCTCAGGGCAGCGACGTCAAAATGCTGGTCTGGGGAGGGAACCGGGCGGGTCTGCCCCCCACCCCGTGGTCGAGGTCTGCTCAGGGAGGCAGGGCCGTCCACCGCAGGGCCTGTGTGGGGCCTGCTGCCCTTCTGTGCGGGGCCCGAGCACCTGCCACACTGTGTGGGGTCCCATCCCGAGTTGTCACTGGTGTTCGGGCCCTGCTCCCCCGGGGTTTGCTGGGGGTGCCCATGCAGGGGCCCCCTTGGTGGCACTGGGGAGGTGGGTGTGGGTAGACCGGAGCTGCTGGGTGGGAGGTGGCCCCGCTGGGAACTGAGAGGCCACTGAGAGTCCCCTGCTGTCACAGGCTTCACAGCTGTGAAGGTCCCCAATGCATCCCAGGGGTGCGGGTCCTCAGCTCGCGCCTCCTGCCAGCCTCCCCATGCCTGCGGCAACAGTTGGTGTCGGACACGCGGAGGCGTCCACACGTGTGGTCCTGCTGACGCAGAGCGACTTGCCCGTGGGGCCCCCACTGGCCTCAGCCGTGCAGGAGGATGGACTGGCGGTTGGGCAGCTTCCCGCGTGCAGGCTCCCGGAGAACCCGGGCCCCGTGTGCTTCTGGAGGAGAGGGGTGCAGACCAGGGACGGGGCGGTCAAGAGGGAAGTGGCACCACACTGATGTCCGGCAGATGACGTATCGTCTCTGCAGGCTTTATTCGACTCTGTGCTTTGTCCGGGAGCCTCTGGGGCTCAGAGCAGCTCCGGGGGGTGTGTGGGGGGGCAGGCAGGATGGGGCCCTGGCAGGTGCAGGCCTTGGATGGTCCCCCCCGGGGAGCGGCGTTGGTGGGAAGGTGGCTTTCCCCCACAGAGGGTCCCAGCTCCTCTCCTGGGGGCCACGCAGGCTCTCATGCACGCCGTGCTCCCTGGGCCGCAGGGCCTGGCTCCGTGCCGGCCGCTGAGGGTACCCCACCCGCCCCCCGCAGGCCCAGCTGATTGCCCAGTCCATCGGCCAGGCCTTCAGCGTGGCCTACCAGGAGTTCCTGCGGGCCAACGGCATCAACCCCGAGGACCTGAGCCAGAAGGAGTACAGCGACATCATCAGCACCCAGGAGATGTACAACGACGACCTCGTGCACTTCTCCAACTCCGAGAACTGCAAGGAGGTGAGCCGGACCCGGGCGCGGCGGAAGCTGGGGCGCAAGCAGGCCGAGGTGGCAGGAACCCCCCCTAGCCCCCCATCTCCGCTGAAGGCTGAGCTGCTGCCCGACCTGCCTCTCGCTCCTGCCTGGGGAGGGGAGCACTTGTGTGTGAAATGAGGTGTTGCTGCAACAATCAAACTGATTACCATCAGCCTTAATGACCTTGAAAACGCGCCTGCCAGTGCTGGCTGTGCACCCGGGGGAGGTTTCTGAGCAGCGCAGGAGGCAGCTCGCAGCGGAGAACGGGGTGCTCTGCTGGTAGTGGGGGCCCCCAGGGGTCTGCTGAAGCGGAGGAGCTCAAGCCCTGGGGTGGGGGTGCGCATGCGCCCTGGCGCTGTGGGATGGGTGGGTGGGGGGTGACCCTGCTGAATGCGGGAAAGGGGCCGGCTTCTCGTTGGGCGGCCTGGGCGGCTCCGAGAGCATGACCCTGGGAGCCGAGGGGAGGGAGGACTTCTCTGGACGCATGCAGGCTGGGTCTGCGGACACGCCCGTGTGGGGCGGGGGCCCATGTGGGGCAGGGGCAGGCAGCAGTCTGTGCCTGGCTCACCCGCCACCCCCACTGCCGCCGCCTCCTCGCAGCTGCAGCTGGAGAAGCTCAAGGGCGAGATCCTGGGCGTGGTGGTGGTGGAGTCCGGCTGGGGCTCCATCCTGCCCACCGTCATCCTGGCCAACATGATGAACGGCGGCCCGGCCGCCCGCTCCGGGAAGCTGAGCATCGGCGACCAGATCATGTCCATCAACGGCACCAGCCTGGTGGGGCTGCCCCTGGCCACCTGCCAGGGCATCATCAAGGTAGGCCCCCGCGCCCCGCCCTCCACCGTGCAGGTCGGAGAAGACCCCAGGATGCCCGGACCTGGGGGGCACGTTCAGTCTGCCCAGGACTTTCCCAGGAGCCCTGGGTCCCCGTGTGGATCCAGGAGGCGGGCTGTCAGCGAGAGGGGCCGCACTGAGGGTCTGACCTGTGAGCCTGCAGCTGCAGACCCTGTGGAGGGTCAGTGGAGGGGGCACAAGCCGGTGGCCCCGGGGCTTTGGCACCTGGTCACTCTCGGTCTCACGGAGCCTGGGTGCGGGGGTGGGCGGACAGGGGGCCCCGGAGTGCTGTGCACAGCGGGCTGCCCTGTGGTCCCCACCCCACTGCGGCCTTGGTGCCAGAGCCTGGCCTCATGAGCTGGCCTGTGGGTGGTCTTGTGGACAGCGGTGCCGGAGGCTCGGGTGGCCGCCGCCCTGGGGCACTTGGTCACCACCCTTCCGGGGGTCACACCCGGCCCACAGAGCAAGCAGAAGCTGCAGCCTCGGGGAGCCGTGGCACCTGACCCCTCCCCCAACCCCAGGCTGCAGCTGGCCACGTCTCGGCGTGGACACCAAGTGTTCACTGAGCCACGTGACCCTGTCCCCACCCCAGCCAGCACTGGGCCATCACTGGGGGACTCAGTGGACAGGGGTGCTGGGGCAGGTTGTGCGCGGTGTCACAGGGGGCCTCAGCCAGCTCTGTCCCCGTGCTCACAGGGTCTGAAGAACCAGACACAGGTGAAGCTCAACATCGTCAGCTGCCCGCCAGTCACCACGGTCCTCATCAAGCGGCCAGACCTCAAGTACCAGCTGGGCTTCAGCGTGCAGAATGGAATTGTGAGTCCGAGCTCCGGCCTCGGCCGCCTCCACCCTGGGGTCTGGTGCAGGGCGGCGGGCCCCACCTCGGCCGCCACAGCGGGACACACACGGCCAGTGGTGGCATCAGGTGTCCATGCACTCATTTGTGCGCCGTCGTGCCCGACTGTTCAGACCCGAGCTTGAGGCTCCGTGCTGGGCGCTGAGGGGCTGGAGGGCTTCCTGGAGGAGGTCGCCTGGGACTTGAGAGCACGTTGGTCTGCCCCCAAATCCGAGCCTGCTGCTCAGCCCGGGGCGCTTTAGTGTGGAGCTCCCAGATTCGCTGTCCTGCGCTGGGCCAGGGTTCCGGGAGGACCCCAGGAGGACCCCGAGGGCGGTGGCACAGAGATGGAGCTGGGAGAGGCGCAGGGCGAGGGCGGTAGGCCCGTCTGTCCCTCCGGGTCAGCGCGCACTGGCTGTCGTGACAGACGGCCCCCACTTCCACACACCTCTGGCCACGGTGGGCCCCGCTGCGTTTCCTGGCGGCCAGCGCGGCTAGGCCCCCAGCTCCTCTGCCAGGGATGTTGGTCCAGTCAGGGAGTGACACTGTCTGTCACTGTTGCACGGGGAGGTGAAGTCACTTGTCCCGAGGCTCCCAGCGGCCAGGGGCAGGACTGGCCCTGGGGACAGCGCCCGCCGGCTGTCATCAGACCCTCGTGCACCGGTCAGGGTGTCAGCAGGCAGGCAGGCGCGGGTGCGCTGGCTCCGGGGAGCAGCACTGAGGCTGGTGCGCCCTTAACTGTGCCCGGGAGTGCCCAGGGCCTCCCCGGCCGGCCGGTCTCTCCTCCGGCTGAGCCCACAGGGACCACAGACCACGCTGTGCCATGCAGCCAGGCTCCCTTGAGTCCCTGGGAGAGTCTGCTGACGTCTGAGTTAGTCTGGCTCGCGTGCCTCTTCCACTTCCGGCTCCGCTGCACGCAGCCCACGAGGCGTGCATTGGAGGACAGGCCCCGGGGGGCCCAGCGCTCGCTGCCTCTGTCTTCCCACAGCACCAGCCAGTAGATAATACCTTCGTTCTGAGAGGGGCGCCCTGTGACATTAGGGCCCCGTGGCTCCGGGTCCCTACCACACACGCCCGCCCCCAAACTCCCACCGGGGAGCGGGGGTGATGGGAGGTGGCTGTGATGGGTGGGGGGAGCCCCCGAGGGGACGGCGAGCTGACCTGACAGTCTACTGCTTAGATCTGCAGCCTCATGCGGGGAGGCATCGCCGAGCGAGGGGGCGTCCGCGTCGGCCACCGCATCATCGAGATCAACGGGCAGAGCGTGGTGGCCACGGCCCACGAGAAGATCGTGCAGGCGCTGTCCAACTCGGTCGGCGAGGTGAGGCTCTGGGCCCCTCAGTCCAAGGGGTCACCTCGGTGCGGACCACGGTGGGTGCTCCTTCCCTGGAGAGGGAACCCCTCAGGGTGGGGCTGGCACACCCACGGGTGGTGGGGCCGGGGGAGGTGGCAGGGAGGGGGGATCACAGTGCGCCTCTCGTTGCCGGCAGATCCACATGAAGACCATGCCCGCCGCCATGTTCCGGCTCCTCACGGGCCAGGAGACCCCGCTGTACATCTAGGCCCCGAGGAGCAGGGGCCGGACTTGCCCCCGCAGCCAACCCGAGGAGGCTGGCTCCCCGAGGGGCGCCCTTGCCCCCCTTTTTCATGACACGAGGGGCACGTCTGTCGGACGAGCGTCGCAGGAGCCCGTCTCCGCGCAGCAGCCCAGGATCTCACCGCGTTCCGACCCGTCTCTCCTCGCGGCTGACCAGGTGTGTGGGTCCCTCTGTGGCGTGGCGTGTCTGTGCTCCCGGAGCTGGGCCGGGGGTGCCTGACGGCCCCTGGAAGGGCTGATGGTACCGCTGCCACGCCCGCGGGAGCGAGGGCGCCGTGACTTGAGGTTCCGGGCTGCGACCGTGTGGAACTTGGAGGAAGGAGCCGCTCCTGGGTCACACAAAGGGTGACAGCCACGGCACTGCATCGCTGTCGCTCCTGAGACACCACCGCAGGGTCCACTTTGCATTCCGACAGGCCGCTCTTCGGACTTGAGGGTCTCCAGGTGGCCCGAGCTCACCTGCTCCCTGGACCCTCCTGGGCACACCCCACCTCCAGGGACACGGGGGCGGCCCTCTACCCACACACACGCGCCCCCCCCAAACACACAGCCCTCCACCACCCCCGGGCGCCAGTATTGGAGCGCGTGCAGGTCGCCGCCGCCGCCAGCCTAGCACGGCCCCACGGGGCGGCACGAGCGGACACCACGCTGCCCGGGTCTCCGCCCTGGCCCCGGCCTGGGAGATACACTGTGACTAAAAAGCCTTACCACCCTGAAGCGCTAGGACCCCCGTGTCCCAGGACGACCCGTGTGTTGCATGCAGCCGCCCTCGGGAGACTCGCTCACGTCACTAATAAACGCGAACTCACGATGAGGAGCCGTCTGCCTGGCTGGTGTGTCCACAGACAGGGAGGGGGCGCTCCCAGTGGCAGGCTGGTCCTGGTGACGGGGCCCGGACCTGCCCCCCGGCCCACCAGTGTCCCCGGAGTGAGACGGGCTGCTGACCGGCTGCACGTGGGTCACCCTGGGTGAAATGGACACTCCTCCCTGGAGTGCTGCGTGCATACGCGTGTCTGTGTGCGTGTGTGGGTGCACGTAACAGGCGGACCGCCGTCCCCGGCGGTCTCCCTACCTGCAGGTCTGGGCAGCCTCTGGGCGCCAGGGGCCTCTACGGCTCTCGCACAGCTTGTCTCGGTCCGGGGTCACCTGGCGTGGGGCAGGGCTGAGTGTGAGCCTGGGGGCCTCGGGCGGCCGCACTCCCTGCTGTGGCGCCCCCCAGGAGGTGGGGGCCCCACACAACCACACACGCTGGACAGTCCACATCTGTGAGCTGGGAGGCTGCACGCCTGCCCTCCCCGCCCCGGGGCCCGGCTCCCCTGCAGGGCCCACGGGCGCTGAGCCGCCGTCTCTGCCCCACTGAGACCTCAGAGAGACGGGGGCCGGAGAGAGTTTTTATTAAAACACCGACCATTGTGAAAACACCTTGAGGTACATTAAATAAATACAACCTTCCAGTGTACCGATGGCCCTCCTGGGGCTTGGAAACCATTTCCTGTAAATTGTGCCTCGACAGCAGCATCTGTGAAGCGATACGGCAGGGGAGGGGCAAACGTACGTTTGAAATGAGCGTTCCGTGACTCGGTTTCTCGCAGGCAGGGAACTCGCCCCGTGGTGGCCAGCCGTGGGGGGGACCTGAGGCCCTGGTGGAGGGAGTGCCCCCACCCCCAGAGCGTCTCCCCGTCCCCAGGCCGGGGTCAAATAGAGTTCACACAGGCTGCGGTCCTCCCCTCTGGGTCATGGGAGGGGGCCGCGAGAGCACCCAGGCCTGTGTAGACAGGGGTCCCTGCGGGTGGGGGTCAGCCATCCCTTGGTGCCCCACCCACGTGGTCCGGGGCTCCGGCTCCCAGTGCCGCTGAGCAGAGCAGGGCTGAGGGTTCCAGAGCCGGTGAGTGGGGTCCCGGCCTGTTCTGACTGCACCCCTCTTCCCAGGACCTTTCCCAGAAGCCTGGGCCCTCAGGCCACAAGGGACCCGGGCTGGGGGAGCCTAGCTGTGTCAGCGCAAACCCAGACCTGAGCCGAGGGCTGTGGGCGGGGCCCCCAGAGGGGCTGGGAGCGTGGGCTTCCGGCCAGACACCTGCTTTGCCTTTAAGGGGCGGCGGGGGCGGAGGGCAGAGAAGGAGGGAGAAGCAGCAAATGACAGCACCAGGCCAATCTCCTGGGGGTCCCCTCACCCCGGTGCTCAGTAGGGACAGTGTGCTGGGGCGAGCCCGAGAGGTGGGGGTGGGAGGGGTCAGGGCTGGCCGCCAAGCACACAGCCCCCGGGGGCCCGGCCCAGGGACCCTGGGACACAGGAGGCACCGGACAGGGCCTCCCCCAAGACCAGGGTGTCGGGCGCTGCCGGCAGACCTCAGGGGATGCCCCTTGGAAACGTCGCCGAGGGACTGGCTTTGGGGGACTTGAAAAGCCCTCCACTGAGGAAAATTAGAGAACAGACTTCCCGTGTCATCCTCTCAGTAAAGTGTCCCGTGTTGTATCTGAATAAAGTGCTCTGAAGTTTACCTCCGGGCCACCTGTCTGGTTGTCGTCAGAAGGCGGGACCCACAGCTCCGGCTCTCCTGCCCGTGGGCGGCGGTGACAGGTCAGTCCAAGTGCCCACTGCTGAGGGCACAGCGGCGTCCTTCCCGCCTCCATGGTCCCTGGTGCCACAGGGGGCTCAGCGTCCCCTCCTCAGCTTCCAAGGACACAGACACGGACACCAAGCACAGCGGGCACCGGCCAGCCCTCCTCCTGCCAAGGCTCGTCGCCTTGTCCCTCCAAGGGTCCACTGGCTGCAGCGGAGGTCCAGGTGCTGGTGGCGGCTGTTGTGGGTGGTGCAGCTGCAGGCGTGCCCCTGGCTGCAGAAAGTGCTCCAAGGCTACCGCTGGGCAGTGGCCACCACTAGTGCTGCCGAAGTGCCCAAGTTCAAGGTGCCCCAGCTGCCGGCCAGAGGAGGCTGGGCCTGCCTGCTCCCGCAGACCCGACCCGGTAGATGTGTGCGCGTGAAGACACGGCCGGGCCCCCAGAGACCCGCTTTCTCAGGAGACGCACAGGTCGGGGACACCAGGCCTCGTCCCCCGGACACCGAGAAAACCCGGAAAGTGGGCTTCTCACCAGGGCTCGCGACTCTGAATTCAGTGACGTGCATCCGCTGCTCGGTAGCACTTGAGCCAGTTAGTGCAGAGGGCGCTGGAGGGGGAGGCACTCCACAGGGGGTGGCACTCCACAGGGGGTTCCCACAAACCCCTCGCCACACCCGTCACTGCCCGGCCACAGCAGGCCCTCCCTACGGTGGTGCGCGCGGCAGCCTACAGTCCCTCGGGCGGCGCGTGGGCCCAGCGCAGACGCGAGGCTGAGGACCCAGGGAGAACAGCGCACGGGAACACAGCCTTGTCACTGGATGTCACCCCCGTCCCCTTAATGCCACGGCAAACGGGGGTCGGGGGTGAAGGGAGTCCGGGTTCCACGGCCCTGGGTTTGAAAACACTGTGTCTCCATTCCGTGACTGTCACCTGCCACCAGGTTCTCGTGGCGCCGATCAGTGCAAAGTGCCGCCTGCTTGACAACCGTAGAGTCCACGAGGGACAGGAGAGGACCCTCCTGCTCTGCGTCACCCCCAGGAAGACAACTGAGAGCGGCAGCAGCAGCCCCCAAGCCACCCCGTGGCCCCCTGGGCCGCCGGCCTCTCCCCACACGCGCACTGGTTTCCAGCAAGGCTGCTCTGCTGCCCGCCTGTCCGAGGCCCCGTCTAGACTGGTGACCGCTTCACACCCGGTCCAGAGCAGCCGCGTGGACGGTGGCACTCCTCGGACGTTACTGCCGCGTGCCGTGTCTCGGGGGGTAGGGCGTGGCTGGCGTGTTCCAAAAACTTAGCCACCGAGACCCTGGCGTCTGCATGGGCTGTGCCGTCCGCCGCCGAGCGCGGCCGCTCTTTGGAGACCACCCGTGAGGCCTCCGGCACCACGTGCTGCTGGCTTTTCCAGGCATCTGGCTCCAGGGGAGGCACAGGCCGGTGCCGACGGGCACAGGCAGGCGCGACAGAGTGAGACCGGGAAACTAAAAGCCAAGGGAAAAGATAAAAACCTGAAAATGGCCGGAACAGAAACAGCACAGAAGGCAGCCGTTCAATAGTCTTTAAAAAGCTGACGCAAGCATGCTAGGATTTCGGGTCCTGGGTTGGCGACGGGGACATCCCTGCTTCCTGTGTCCCCTCTGTCCCCCTTGGGGCCTGGCCCCTCTCAGTACTGAGCTAAGGTGGGATTGAACTAGGGGGCTGCAGCTTCCCGGAGCTGGACAGGTGGAGAAGGGCCATGTAGAGCAGGGTCCCCCTCCTGACCCCTCTCTGCTAGAATCTTCGAGCTCACGGGGGGCCGGGGTCCCTCTCGACCTTCCCGGCTCTGTGCCCTTCACCCTTGTTGGTCTGATGGGGTCTGCAGACAAGTCTGCCTGGAGGCCAGAGCTCAGTGAGAGCCCCGCCGCGCACAGCGGGCAGATCTGAGGGCCCCTCCCAGCGCCCACCAGGCCAAGGGCCCACGGACGAGTGCTGGTCTCCACTTTCCCAGGGGCAGCCAGTGGTGGGCAGACGGCGGCGGCCTACTGGCCAAAACCAGATCAAAGCCCGACTCGCCCCGTTTCAACTCCCACGATAGAAGCGCTTGCTGGTGGGCTGGGCGTTTCCGGGTGGCAGCCAGCCAGCCCGACCGCTGGGCACGAGACCCTGACACCCCGCAGGTGGGGACAACCGCCCCTCAGGGCAGAGCCTCACAAGCACGCAAGGCGGAACATGCGGCCGCGTGCGTGTGACCTCACAGCCTCTGGTGCGTCCCACGTGGGCGGGGCTAGTGGGGCCCTGCTTCTGGTCAACGCTGTGAGGAGCTGGATGACCAGTCGTACCCCCCAGCATCCCCGCTGCCCCCGATTCACAGCAGGTGTCACGCTGTTTTAGAAAAGAAGCGTCTCACCGGTCCCCAGAGCAGCCGGAGACGGTCCTGCGTCAGGGTCCTGGTGGCGGCAGGCATCGTCTTCGACACAGAGCACGCAGCGCACGCCCAGAAGGGAAGAGGAAATTCCGGGTCACGCCACACCTAGCCTCCCGAGGCTGAGACGTGCACTTGCGATGCCAGCCCAGCAGAGGGCGCCCCGCCACGGGGCAGGCAGCGTGGCAGAGAAGGCTCGGCCGGCCCACCCGGGGCGTGGCGCAGCAGGCCAGGGCCACAAAGCAGCCAGGACCCGTCATGGGGCACCACTCGAGTCTGGGGGCCTCCCGGGGCCTCGGGGGACACAGGCCTTTGCCGTGCAGAACACTAACCATCCCACTGGCAACAGTGTGGGGTGGTGGACGCAAAGGTGGCGCTGAGACAACTCGTCACTATACCACCTCTTCTCACCATCCCTGACACCTCCTGGTTTGAGGACAGCAATGTCACCAAGGGGGGTAGACCAAAGAGCTGTCGGGGCCACAGAGCAGGGCTCCACGTGCGTGGGGACCTTCCTGCCCCTCCGGGAGTGAACCTGGGCTCCAGTCTGCTCTGGGGGCAGGGGCTGGGCCTGGACCACAGCGTCAGAGGGGCCGGTTGGGGCGGGGCTTCTCTGTGGGAGCTGCGAAGGCGGGGTGGGGGGGGGGGTCGTGGCAGACAGGACTGCCGGCCTGCGGGGGCCGCAGGGGCAACAGCAAGCGTGTCCAGACCATGACCGACTTCTGCGGGCTCCCGACCCCTTTCAGGGACACAATTTTCCGGGGGCCTATGCCATCCAGGGTTGAGGGGGGCAAGACAGCTCCTCAGGTGAGGCTGGTCCAGCACCCACCGGACTTCCCCTGGGGTCATTTACTTCCACATTGTGACAAAGTCCCGCGACAAAGGCCACCAATCTCCACAGCAAACACACGGCCATTGTCTCCACCCACAGCAGCGACCCAGGACCAGGTGCGGGCTCTCCAACCTCAGGGGCGCAAGAACCCCCACACCACATGGCCCGGGCGTGGTGCAAAATACGAATTCCTGGGATTTGGAGCACAGGGCTTCTGGGTCACGCCCTACAGCCCCAGGGGGACACTGCACACTCCATGATTCCAACCCCAGCTAGGCTGATAGCCACGCATAGCCTGGCTCCCTGCCCTTCCTGGGCCCCAGGTGGGTGTGCGCCTGGAGGCTCATGTTGAGGCCTGGCTCCCCGACCCCATGGGCCCATCACCCCCAACTTCCCACCTCCCTTCCAGGGCCAGAGCAGCTGGGGCCCCAGACTGCCCACCTGCCTTGGGGATGGAGAACATCAGACCACGGTCTCAGTGTGGCCCCTGGGCAGGGCCCCCAGGGCCAGGCCTCGACTCTTGGGGGTTACTGAGGCCTGAAGCATCCAGGGCAGAGCCAGACGCATGCTAGGGACACGGGTGGGCGGTGTCAGCCATACCTGCTGCCCAGGATGAGCATGAGGTGGGGTCGCTGGTGGAGCGGGTCACGCGACTAGCACCCAGACGTGCCCGTGCACCCCGGTCAGGGCCTTCGGGGCATGCGAGGCTGGGGTGGGGGACTGGTGGCGGGGCACCCGCAGGGCCATCAGGGGACAGGTGGCTTGGGTCTGGTGCGGTGACACCCTCAGATGCTGAGAGGCTCGTGCTGTTGGCAGTCACTGTAAGGCAAGGGACACCGAATCGGCACTGGCCCGGGTGACCACAGTGCCACCCAGTTCGGGGACAGAGCCCCATGCCCCTTGGGGCAGAGGGTGCAGAACAGGTGGAGCCCTCCCCGGGACACACCCAGTTACAGGGGGAGAGGTGACACTGAGCAGGGCAACAGGTGCCCCGTGGTGCAGGAAGGTTGGGGGACCAGACCGTCCCCCAAGAATCATTCTGGGAGGCATGTGGGTGGGACTGCACAGCCCACGGTGACTAAAAGTCAGACGCCAGACACAGCCCTACCCAGGCAGCCCCTGGCAGACCCCGAGTTCAGACAGCAGGGCAACAGGATGCTGGGCAAATAGGGCCGGTGCGGAGAAAGGTGGGGGCGCCAGGGGTCCCAGCCAGGCCTGGTGGGCACAGAGCCTATGCCCTATGCCCCCCATGGGGGTGCAGCCCTGGTCAGCAGGTGGGGCCGGCTGCCCACCTGCCTGCCTGCCCACCTGCCCTGGGGATGCCTGCCTGGTGCTCCAAGCTGAAGGGCCGGCGGCCTCAGCAGGCTGAAAATGTGCCAGCACGGCAGACCCCCTAGAAACCCTGCGGGCGGACCTGGCTGGCAGGGCTCGGACAGGCCCACAGGGAACTCGGATGCTGCCAAATGTGGGAGCACCACTGTCCGCCTGTGACGACGCACGGGCCGGGTCTCACCCCTCACTCTCCGGAGTAGCACCCAGGGGAGGAGAGGACAGACCCCGAGTCTGTTTGAACAAGATCCCCAGCAAACCCGCTCACCCGTTAGGGCCCAAGCAGCTGTCCCCTACCCCGTTCTCTCTGCCCCGCTCACTGTCCGCCTTGGCCCCTCGCAGCAGATGCTGCGGACAGAACAGGGAGCGGCCGTGTAGAAACTCAGAAAGGTGACCCGGAGGTCCGATACATGTGCGCAGACAAAAATTCTTCAGGACAGTCACTCCCCTCCTAAAACACCGCACGAACAGGAGGAGGAAATCTACAGACACAGATGCACCACCTCGGGTGGAGAGAGCCTTTGTAAGCGCTAGAAACTACACGGGAAAAGCGTGATGACTTCGACGACGACAAAGATGGGGACCTGGGCATGGCCAGCACATCCTGGGGGCCAGGCACGTGCACACTGGGCATGTTCGGAAAAGTGTTGCTCTTGCACAAACTCTCACATTTCTGTTTAATGTTTAGTTTGGTGTTTTTTTTTTTTTAAACAAATCTACAAGAAGAAGAAACTGCAGGAGTAAAAAATGGACCAAAAACTGACATATGAAAAGTGCTCAAACTTTAAGTAGAGTGTACGTCTGTATACATACACCCAGGTTAAAAACCAAAGTTTGCCCTGGCTGGGTGGCTTAGTGGGTTGCAGCGCCATCCCATGCACCAGAAGGTTGCGGGTTCGGTCCCCGGTCGGGGCGTGTACGGAAAGCAACCGATCAATGTTTCTGTCTGTCTTTCTCTCTCTCCCCCCTGATTTCTCTCTTAAAAAAAAAATTAATAAACATATCCTTGGGTGAGGATTAAAAACAATTTTTTTAAAAAAATTCAACTGAGAACATTCTGAGACCTCGCTGGCCACGTTTCTCCAGCGGGAACTCGGGGGTTCACGTGGCTCACAAAAAGGCGGCAGCGACCTCCGTGCCCGCGAGAGTCAGACCCGGACCCAGCGGAACAGCGGGAGGAGGAGGCGTCCTGTGAAGACTCTCAACTTACTACTCCCAATGCTGATGGGCAAGCTTACCTCGGGCGCTGCAGCCTCCAGTGGCGCCTGGGTGCCGGGGACTGGTCTCGGCGCCCTGCTGGTCAGCACTCGGGAGCTGGGGGTACAGGCAGAGGCGATGAGCGGTGAGTGGGAGTGGGCCTCAGAGCTCAGCTCCCGGGGAAATGCTGAGAGACGGGCACTGAGCTCTCCCCTTCTCCCCTAAAGGCGCCGGGTGTGCGGCTGAGGATGCACCTTCTCCAAACCTTGTTCAACCAGCACACGCCCGTTCCAGGGCCCTGTGCACCCTCAGCCCCTCGCCTTTTGTGTAAGGGCTGTTTGGGGGCCGCACAGCATCCTCCAGAGTGACCGCAGGCAGGAGGTGGGACAGTCCCCGTCCTCAGGCATAACCCTCTCCTCTCAACCACTGTCCCCTCCGGCTCCCACTCCTGGAAGACGGTGGCCACAGGAGAGGCACAGTGATGGCCTTGTCACGCTCCGGGCCACCATGGTTGGGACCCAATGTGGGCACCTCACAGTCTTGGCCCCCTTGGGTGTCCAAGTCACCCAGCACTCGCATGGGCCGTCTGCTCCCTGGGTCTCTGCCCCAAGGCCGCCCCCCTGGCTGAGCTGGGGCTCTGCGTCCAAGTTCAAAGGGCAGGGGGTGGGGGGGTGGGGTTTCCGGGTTGAATGCAGCCGGAGGCAGCCAGTCAAGGCGCTCGGGCAGCTCCCTCCTCCAGTGAGTGGGCCCCTTAAGCCCAGAGAGGCCGCGGGAACATGAGGGGCCTGTCCTCGCCTCTGGTCAAAAAAAAAAAAAAAGCTCAATCCTCATGCTATTCTGGGCCCGTTCTGGGGACACTCTTGCAGGTCATGAGCTCTGGGGGACGGCCGGGGAAGGCCAGGTGACCAGCCAGTGCCCGCTGCCTCTGCTGCCACTTCCAGGGGCCCACAGGCACCGGCACCGGCCCGGGGTCTGTCTCCACCTCTCCTTTCGTTCCCAGGGTGCCGCCGTCCGTGGCAGGCGTGACCGTGCCCCCAGTGCCCAAGGGGGAGAACCACCTAAAATGATCCCAATCACACACGAAACACTGCACGAGCACTCGCCTCCCTTTTTACCAAAACCGCTCCGTGCCAATAGCCAATTCTGGAAATCTCTGCCCACAGCGCCCTCCAAATCCCCCCAGAAGAGAACAGCGCCCTGAGCTCTGTTTCCCTTCCATGGAGGCTCCCACAGCTCACCTCCTTTTGACTTTATTGATTGATCAATTGATTTTTGCAGGGGTGGGTAGTGACTTCAACAATCGCTACCCCAGAGAAAGCTCCTGGTAATAAAGCGACAGGGAGAGAACAAGAGGAACGCCTAGCGGGCCGGGCCGGGAGGTAACGGGCTGCATTTCAGGTTTGGGGGGCACGCCCCCGGCTCCCGGCCCAGGGTGGTTTTGGGAGGAGACCGCCTGGCTCCCGGAGGTGCGTCCCAGCAGCTCTCGCAAGCAGGGTGAGAGCGAAGGTTTCGTTTGAACTTGGCCTTCCCCGATGTCCAAAGCCACAGAGCCGTGCAAAAGCGGGGGGAGAAACAGCTATTCGGTTCGTCCGGCATTTTTCATTAAATATAAAGACAGTGGACATGGTGGAGAAAAAAATACCCACTTTTGTGGCCCAGAATTTAAGTTGAAACTTGAGTTTAGCAACAGAGGCTCAGGATGAAGCTCTGGCAGGAGGGCGGGTGACGGGCTGTTGAGGAGACAGGCCCCCTGCTTTCCCGGACAGTCTCTTCTGACCAGGTACCGGGACTAGAACTTCCACTGGGCCCTGGCTGGGTGGCTCCGTGGGCTGGAGCGTCACCCCGTGCACCACAAGGTTTCGGGTTCAATCCCCGGTCAGGGCGGGTTCAGGAGGCAACTGATCGATGTTTTCTCTCTCAGATTAATGTTTCTCTCTCTCCCCTCTGCTCTTAAGTCAATAAATACATGCTCAGGTGGGGGTTGAGAAAAACAGAAGCCGACTGGCACTGAGATAAGTGAGCCAAGCTCTCCTCCCCCACTTCTCTCAGGAAGCTCCGTGGCCACACACCCCTGCACAGGACGTTCTGCCCACAGGGCGGGACCGCACTTGTAGATGCAGCCGTCGCTGAGGCTTCTGGAGGCGCTGTCCCTACTGTGGGCGTGTAAACCCCTCCACACCTGCAGAGGTGGGGGGAGGGGCAGCACCTCCCCAGGGGGGCGGCTGGGCAAAGGGCAGGCACTGCCATCCGCCATCTGGGTACTGGATCTCAAAGGGCAGCGACAGGGGTGACGAGGGAGGCCCTGGGCCGGGTCTGCGGCCAGCACCGCTCCCTGGAGGTGACCCGGGAAGGGACGTGGGTCAGAAGCACTCCCCGGCTGCCGGGAAGCCCGAAGGCGTGCGCGCCTGGGCCCCCGGGGACCTCGCTGGTGGCCGCAGGGTCGCCTCTGCCTGGCGTCCGCCCGACCTGGCCCGGCTCTCAGTGTCTCCTCAGTTCTCCGCACACGTCCCTGTGCAGCCTGACCGCCGTGCTCGCCACCCCTGAGGCCGCCCCGAGGGCCACCCGCACGGCCCTGACCGCCCTGTCCTGTGCTGGCTGCCGTGGGACGCTCCCAGGCATCCGTGTTTCTCTGCCCTGGCCGGCGCCCTTCGATATTCAGCAATGACCGTGACGATGATGAGAGTGCCAGAGGCAGGCAGGTGCCTTTCGGTGACTGGGGGCCTACGATGTGCTGAGTCCCAAACACCCTGCTCCATGCCCGCTTCACAGATGAGGCTCCGCCCACTTATCCCCCCCCCAGGACCCACTGTGGGCTGGGCACACCAGGCCAAGGGCAGGGCCACGGATCCCTCCGCCACCAGGTGACCATGACGACTCGGAGCCAGGACAGGCCAGAGTCCCCTGGGTGTCTGTGGCCAGAGCCCCACGGTTGGAACCTGTGCCAGCAACGTCTGGGCAGTATCCCCAAACATGGGCTGGTGGGAACCCCGGACCCCCCTGCAGGGGGCCACGGGGAAGAGGCACAAATATTGGGGCGGGGTCCCCAGGCTGCCGGAACCTCTGCAGGTTCCACTCTGCAGGCCTGGCCTCCTGGGCGCAGGGAGCCGGCGGGTCCTCTCACCTGGCTGGCTGGGGCCGGGCCCACCACGGCCTCGTAGGGCGGCGGGAGCTCCGCGGGGTAGAGCAGGCCCGGGCTGTGGATGGCCACGTCGTACAAGGCGCTGAACGGAGAGGGGGCGAAGTCCAGGTGCAGGCCCCTGCGGAGGCGGAGCCGCGGGGCGGTCAGGCTGGGGGAAGGGGCTGCAGCCCCTCTCTCGCAGCCGTCAGCACAAGGCTGGCTCCTCAGCCCCCTCCTCACACCCCCACTGTGTTTGGGAAAGAAAAGCCTAGTTCACTGGACAGCGTTAGCTTTTGTTTTCTGGAAAGACAGCACCGTTTTTGTTTTCGGTCAACCCGAGGGCCCCATCCATTCAAATTAAAATGACCCTACAGCTGATTCCATCTTTCATTAAAATTTGCACTTTACGGTCATTCAGTAGTGGTTCTGGGTTTCTTTCCTAAGGAAACAGCGGAGCCGCTTCTGGCTGGCTGGCTGGGTTTCTGTTTCATGAGTCTGCAAAGATGCCAACAGAAACTTCTATCTCTGAGCTGCCATTCTCTTCCGGGCCCTGCTCTGTTCCCCAGGCAAACTTTCGTGGCCCTGGCCAGTGTGGCTCGGTTGGTTGGAGCATCGTCCCACAAACCGAAAGGTCGTGGGTTCGATTCCCAGTCAGGGCACGTGCCTGGGTTGCGGGTTTGATCCCTGGTCTGGGGCGTACCAGAGGCAACCGATTGATACTTCCCACTCGCACCCATGTTTCTCTCTCACTTCCTCTCTAATCAGTAAGCATGTCCTCAGGTGAGGATGGGGAAAAAAAAAAACATGCTTTCGTAGCTTGCTTTCCTGTTCTCCACTGAAAATGGCGAGACCTTTGCCACTTCTCTCTCCCCCAAAGGGTATTTCCCGGCCCCCCTCACGTGGCACAGGCATTGGTGGACAGACGTACCTGTGGGCCTCGGCCGTGGGCGTGCAGGTGTACTCGGGAGGGTAGTAGGGGGGCGGGGGCAGAGGCGGGATGAACTCCTCGAAGTCCAGGGTCTGGTGGAGGACAGTGCCGTGCGGGGTCGCGCAGGCCGGGCTGGTGGAGAGCGCCCTCTGCGGCAGGAACTGAGGGGGGGATGGACAGAGAGAGTCAGAATTACCGGGGACACCTCGTGCGGTTTGTGACTAATGGCGCTAATGGCGCATAAGCTTTAATTTGGAACTTGCGTAATTTAAACAGTCAGGCCTCGGTGGCTAAACACACATTTTAAAATGATGGCTCTGTGGGGAAGGCCTCAGTGCCGGAGCCTCTGTGTGCTTTGCTTCCCACGCGGTGGCGCAGGAGGCCTCTTGTCGGAGGGGAAGCACAGCCCGGGGGGGGGGGGGGCCTGGATTCCACTCCCACCGCTGAATCTGACACCGTCAGAGCCCATGGGCCGAAGGTGTCTCATGTCCACAGTTTAAGACAGCACTGCCACCCTGCCCGGAGTGGCTCAGAGGGCTGGGCATCATGTCACAAACCCCAAGGTCACAGGTTCGATTCCCAGTCAGGATACAGGCCTGAGTCATGGGTTTGATCCCCAGTTGGGGCACGTGCAAGAGGCAATGGATCGATGTTTCTCTCACATCAATGTTTCTCAATCCCTCTCTTTTCCACTCCATTCCCCTTCCGGCCTTGCTTTAAAATAAATCAGATTTTTAAAAAGGAGAGAAAAAAGACAGCACCTCCTACAGTGCAGTCATGAGAAAACACCAGACCTTCAGTGTGGTTGTCTCTGTCGCCTCCCAAATTTCTACAGTGAAATCAATTCGGGAAATGCCACCCACCCTACCCCCGCCACCACCCCCGAGCCCCGCAGCGTCCACTAGTGAGTTTAAGGCCCTGAGCAGACCTGCGCCAAAAACCCCGCCCAGGGGCTACCCCAGCAACAGCACGATTCCCAAATACTTCATCACTCGTCCCTTTCGGCACATGGTGCCCATAATACTCTGCATTTCCAGGGCACCTGCACACTTTGTAAAGTTCTGCTTGGAGGGAAAAGGACCCTTCGTGTGCTCCGGAATGTTCCGCAAGGGGCAACCTTAAAACAGAGACGCTGCTGCTTGAGGAGCAAACTGAGGTCAAAATCAAACTGAAGGAACGCTGTCTCTGTCCGGTTTTCTGTATCTGCCCCTCGAACGCAAGGATCGATAACTGTTTCTCTCTGCACCCTTTGGTCACGGGTCCCCAGAGGTTAGCTGGTGCCTGAGACGTCCCTCCAGGTCCAATCTCTAGGTCACTGTGAGTGATTACAGGTGCAAGGAGGCCCCGGGCCACGGAGGACCTCCCGCTGCCCAGGAGCGAGGCAAGGCCTCCGGGTCAACAGCATTGAGTGGAACAAGTGCAGTCCCATGTGGACACGCTGAACTCTGCCAGTGCCATGCACGGGATGCAGGGGCCCAGCCAGGTTCACGAGGAAGGTGCCATTTGAATGGGAGTAAAGATCAGTGGGACTTCAGGAGGATGGCTGGCGGGCCTGTGCTCTGGGCGCGAGGAGGACTGGGGAGCTGGGGAGAGACGTGTTGAAGAAAAACACGTCTGCATCAGGCTCCAGAGGTGCATCCCTAATTCTGGGGGCCCTGGGGAGCCAGCAAGGGTTCCGGAGCTGGGGGGAGCCACACTGTTAAAGCTGGGTGGTGGGAAGGGCCCTCTGGGTGGGGCGGCCTGGCATCCACAGAGGTTGGAGGGTCGAATGCTTATTTATGCACGAGTGGGGTTGAGGTCTCGGTTCTGAATACGATCAACTGCTAGGGTGTGGAGAAAGGGTGGTGGCCTGTGTCTCAACGAGGGGCATGTCAGGCTGAAATGGCTCCTGCGGGTCTTCTGCACACCCAGAGCACGTCTGGGCCTCTGCTGCTACTCCGACCCACAGCTCTGTTTGTTTAATCCTCTGACACAGCCACGTGCTGAGGGCACCGGGAATGTAGCGCTGCCGTCCTCCGCCTGGAAAGCAGGTCACCCTCGCGCTCCTCACACAAAGCAGAGCAGCCAGCACGAGGCCAGATGCCTTGAAGGTCCAATCGGGAACTAGCCTGCACTGGGCTACCAGAAACGGGAAGAGTCACTGGCATGCTCTGAGTGCTCCAGCGTGACACGCAGAAGCGGAAAGGCCATCCCGTGAAAGGTGCAGTTCCCCCAGAAACGAGGGGAACGAGCGTTGTCACCCGAGCGGGAGAAGTGCCGATGGTCCCATTAGCGGGTTGAAACCAGCCAATGCCGCTGCCCAATGGGGGCTTTTAGAGGTTAAGCGACAGGCCCTGCTTCTGCTCTACACGGCAGGTCACCTTCCCGATGGTGTGTTGGCCCCACCTTTGTGGAGGCATCTCAGGCCCAGTTCATTCTGGACTGAGCCTTTTACCCTGGCTCCTCAGCCCATGCGGTGGGAACCTGCAAGCCACACCTCCCCCCCTCCCCCCATCAGTGTCTGTTTGGCGAGGCAGACTCTGTCTGGAAGCCCCAGATCACCAGCTCTGCACTGTACTCAGAGACCCTGGGCCTGGAGGTCTGCACACCGCATTTCCCGACTCCCTTGCAGCTAGCTTCCTATTAGGTTCTGCCAGCAGGGGGCGCTAGAGGGAGTCTGGAAGGCAGTGGGGGGCAGGGAGTTCCTCCCCGACTTTTCCCTTTCTGTCCTCCCAACCCCAAAGGATGGGTGGCAGCTGCTTCCCCAGTTGCTCAGCGCTACGTGACCTCAGGCCTGAACCCGGGTAACCAGCTCCCCACAGTAACTGTGCTGAAGTCCCAGGGGCCTCAACCCGATGGCTGGGGTCTGTCTGTGTCGTACCCACTCCGTGTTCCCAAGGCCCAGCCTGCTCTTGCAGGCACAGCAGGTGCCCAATGAGCACCAGCTCCCCAGCGGAACGCCCCCTCCCCGCCAGAGCCCCTGCCGTGCCTCCCCGCCTGGGTCTTTGCCTCTCGATTTCAGCCTCCTGTCCCCAGAGACCCTGTACTCAGAGACTCCAGCAGAGCTATTTTTAGAGCAGTCCCTCACTGAAAAACCTTCCACGAGACCTCTGCTCCCGGAACCCCATCGGTCCCCAGTTCCCGCTGACCAGACTGTGCTGAGAAACGTCTCCTCTGCTCTTTGAAGCATCATCCCCAAGTGCCAAACACACCTTGTTCCTCCTCCCAGATCCCCACAAACTGCCCCCCCCCCACCCCCGTCCCGGCTCCACACAGAACACCCTTTGGGAGGCGTGTTCTGGCAGAGAGCGGGCTGCCCGGAAATTCCAGCCCGTTGTCTCTCTGTCCTGCCTGCCTTCCCTCACCGGCTCCATGCCCCTGGGGCAGGAGCTGGAGGTAGGGGAGGGAGAGAGACAACACTGCATGGTCCTTTGTGTCTCACCACATTGTCGTCTGAGTGCCTGACTGCTAAGTGCTGTTTCTCAGTGTGACCCCATCAGGCTGGGGTGGGGTCAGGGGTCAGTAATGCGCTCACGGTCCTGCAGGCCCTCAGTGGTCACGCCACACACTCCCCAGCCTCACGCCCATGCGCCCACCACCGGGCTGGGGCCCGAGGCTGCACTTGGGCGTGATGGCTAAAATATAAGCCTCTGAATCGTGGCTTCTTGCCCAGCTGGCTCTGCCTGCCCTGGGCCATCTGTCAGAGCCTCGTGTGACCCCTGCGGTGACCAGGGACGCCTCTGCCTGGCCAATGGAGCATCGTCCCTGGCCTGTCCTTGTCATCTGCTAAAGGGGAGCGTGAATTCAAGACCCTGCTGGGAGAAGCCCCTTCTCATGCCCCTGCCCCGGAAAGGAGGAAACCCCAGCTTAAGTGTCCACTGCTCTCCACGTGCATCCAGGACCAGGCTGGGGCTCTGATGGGACCTGGGGCCATCTGGCTGCAGCAGCTCCCCGAGGCCCAGTTAACAGCATCTGTACAATGTCGTCCCATCGGGACAGTGCAGAGTCTGGGGTCCGAGGGGCAGTGTGCAGAGGTCAGCGGCCCTCGGGCCCGGTCTCAAGGCCCTGCCTGACCACTGAGGGCCTGCAGGACCGTGAGCGCATTACTGACCCCTGACCCCACCCCAGCCTGATGGGGTCACACTGAGAAACAGCACTTAGCAGTCAGGCACTCAGACGACAATGTGGTGAGACACAAAGGACCATGCAGTGTTGTCTCTCTCCCTCCCCTACCTCCAGCTCCTGCCCCAGGGGCATGGAGCCGATGAGGGAAGGCAGGCAGGACAGAGAGACAACGGGCTGGAATTTCCGGGCAGCCCGCTCTCTGCCAGCTCCAGGTCCGGCCCTGGCCTCCTCTTCCGCGCCGCTCCAGGCCCCTGGCTGCCTCTCTGGTTCACTGGGGAACAGAGTGGGAATTCTCCCCACGTTCGCGCCTTTGAGATTTTCTGTAATAAATGCAGGGGGAAACCCCTTCCTGTAGTCCCCGAGCCTCAGAGGGAGCTGGCGGGACTATGACCACAGGAGGTTTCTTAACCTCTCGTTGCCCACCCACCGATGAGCCCGCCAGGGGCCCTGCTGCTTCCTGGTCCTGCCGCCACCCCCGGGCCAGCGCCGCACCACCCAGGGCTGAGTCTCCAAGCCAGTGAGAGTTACCACTGGAATTCATAACCATCTAGGAGTGCAGACAGGACAACCTGCTTGATCTGTAAGAGCCAAGTGGTGTGTTCCGGAAAGACCCTTTAATAGAGGGCAGCTCAGCAGAAACTGCTGCACGGCGGTCGTCACGGAGGAGCTCCCCAGACAACCGAGGGGAGAGCAGTGAGTCTCACTGCAGTCGGAGGGAACGGGACCTGGTGCGGTTTCTCTGAAGTTTGTGCAAGAAATGCAGCCCGGTGCACCAAGTGGCCAGCAATCAAAGAGAACACGAGGCCTCTTGACGAGACGGGTGGACACAGGCTCATGTGCATATTTAGAGCCAAAGGAAGATGTCCGTGCTGTGGACACATCACTGTGATGACCGTCTGCTGTGATTAGTTTTCTGGGCTCATCAGCCCCCAGCGGCCCCTGTCTGATAGGTGAGCAGCACCCACCGCCCAGAGACCCTTCTGTTGAACCCGACCGCACGGAAGGAAGACGCGGCCTCCATCGGGGCTGGACCGGCACTGGGGTGACCTTGGGAGGTGAAGATACGGGTGAACTTGACTGACACTGAAGCCGCTGCTGGGGGTGGGGGCAGGGTAACATCCCTCCCTGACCCCTAACTAGCTCTGTGGGCGTGACCTCGTCTGTGAAAGGCACAGAGTCCCACCTGCCTTTTCAGAAAGAGTTCTAGTTCACAAAGCGCACAACGAGAAGCAAGAACACAAATGACGATACTGAACATGAACTTCACAAGCTGGTGCCCGATGGCGGTGAAGGTTCGGCGGGCGAAGGTTCAGCCTGCAAAAAGGGTTCACCCCAAGGTGCTGACCCGCAGAAAGGGGAGGGGAACTCGGGTCCTTCCCTGGAGGGTCAGCCCTGCGCTGTGAGGCACCGCGTCGCGTCTGTAGGGGGGAGCTCCTGTGGCCTCTCATGCATGCGCCGTGCCGGGAATTCGTTCCCTGACTTCCCATCTCTGTGGGTGGAGAGCGGAGCTGAAACTTGACGGTACTCACGGCGATGTGTGCAGAAAATCCCTAGAATGTTCTCAAGTTTTCACCCCAACCCCTTGCACTTGCCTCGCCCCCGATCTCGACTGACAGTGACAGACTCGGTGACGCTCTTTGCCCGAGTCTTTCCCGAGTGCTCCGTTCTGTTGCGGTAGAAATTAATCACCTTTCCGGACTTGTCCTTCCTGGGTTTACACGGAATATGCACTTAGAATCCGAATACCACTGGCAAGAACTGGTGTGGGGACAGACAGACTGGTCTCCTGGACGGCTTGTGACCAGACTGCTGAGACAGTGAGCCACGGGGGCTTCTAGCAGGGGACAGTGTTGAGGGCGGAGGCGGCCGGTCGCATGGGTGGGCAGAACCCTGCCACCTGGCCCGTGGGCCCACCACGGCTGGGTTAGGAGAACTGCGACCGCCTTCACAAGGCCCTTGCCGGAGCGCCACTGGCAGCGGCATGGCCAGCACCCGAAGCCAAAGCCAGGGAACAGCGCCCTGGAGGAACCTTTGCTCGCACTACGCACTGGAGAAAATGACCCGTGTGAGGCCTCAGGGAGCAAGGCTGACGCTCGCTGCTGCTGAGGGGCTGCCTCCCGGAAACCCGGAGCGTCCACAGAGAGAGAGAGAGGCGGCCCAGTGACGCGCCACGTCTCCGTGAGGGTGCGGCGCAGCAGTGAAAACCTCTCTCTACACAGTGACCCCGAGGGGGTCTGTGATCACCGTGGGTTGTGAAATCATGTCACAGAGTAACAGGCACGGTGTGCTCCCGTTCTGGCTGAAAGGAAGGAAGAAAGGGGAGGAAGGAGGGAGAGGTGGAGGGAGGGGAGGAAGGAAGGAGGACCATTTATACGTGTTAGTCACGAAATCTCAGAAATCAGGGAACGCAGGGGAGGGGTCGTGGCAGAGTTTCCTTAGAAAAACGGGATGGGAGAAGGGAGACCATTAACTATGTGTATCGCTGTGTTTTCCTTGTTTCACTGATTGTATATTACTTCTGTAATTAAAGAGTCTAATGAAATGAAGTAAGGAAATGAAAGTCAAGTACATCTCAATAAAGCTGGGTAGGAAAAAAAAATGTTTTTAATTAAAAAGAGCTTCTCAGGCATCTTCACGAGCCACTCAGTTCCGGGTCCTAACCCTCAGGGTGTGACCGTGATGCCGTCAGCTGTCCCACTTCTGGGGTGCAGCCTGGGAGGCCAGCCCTGCCCCTGACCCACGTGGTACACAGCGACTCCACGTGGCCCCCATGCCTGCGCAAAGCCCCACCACACCTACTATCTCGTGCGTCCTCTCAGCGGCCCTGGGAGGACCGCGCAGCATCAACGGTCTTTTTAGAGCCAAGGAAACTGGCACAGATAGGCAGTGATGTGCTCAAGGTCACGCCCCTGGTCCCATTCGCGGCCACGGTCAATGTCACCAGTTCTCTCTTGTATCCCCTGTGGCTCTGCAGGTTGGCAGTGCAGCCAGGCCCTTAGAGCCCTGCCTGTCCCATGGCCCAAGGTCACAAAAAGGGAGAGGGACTCGCCAGCAGGAATCTCATTGATTTCTACTTCCAGGCCAGCGTTTAGCAAACTATGTATTTATTTATTTATTTAATTTATAAAGATTATATATTTATTTATTTTTAAAGATTTTAATTATTTATTTTTAGAGAGGGGAAGGGAGGGAGAAAGAGAGGGAGAGAGACATCAATGTGTGGTTGCCTCTCGCACACCCCCTACTGGGGACCTGGCCCACAACCCAGGCATGTGCCCTGACTGGGAATCGAACCCGAGACCCTTTGGTTCACAGGCTGGCACTCAACCCACTGAGCCACATCAGCCACAGCTAACTTATCAACCATTTAGCAATGAAACAAGCTGCAGCTCTGAAGCCGCTGGTGTAATTACGACGACACACGACGCTCTGCTCCCACACAGTGCTTCACAGTTGACGACCAACCACCACCAGGGACCACGGCGTGTACCGTCATCACTGCAGTGGCCCAATGACAAACTGACGCTGCCTCCACGTCAAAGAACAAATTAGGTCACACTTATGGGGTGCTCGCCAGGTGTTCCCTTAGGTCCGCATCATAGCTGAGGACACGGGTTCTGGGAGTCACCTGCCTCACAGGACGGGTGGGACTCTGCCCCGACGCGGCTGGCTTCAGACCCACGCTCCTGGGCCCAAAGGACCCAGACCCCGTTATAACTGTATCCGCTATTCTAGCTGCGACAGCCTTTCTCCTTCCTAAGCCGGCAATTTCCACGTTAAAGCTTCAAACCTGGGAGTGCAAACTTGTAGCACTTCCGACGCTCTGGTTCTGTCAGTTTGGCAAACTGACGTGACATTTACAGATCGACAGTAAAACCCACGGAGGTGGCGAGACCGCGGGGCAGTTAACCTTTCCCCACGCTAGGCACTGGAGAAAAGCCCCTGTGGGAGGCCTCGGGAGCAAGGCCGCCGGCTCACTGCTGCTGAGGGGCTGCTCAACTAGACGCCTCCGGGAAAACGGAGCCCGCAGGGAGGCCAACCGGCAGGGAAGGCCGTGCGGTGCGCTCTGCGCACAAGCAGAGTCAGTGCGGTTTCAACGTCAAGGTAATGACGCCCGCGCCCAGCCCCCACGGCCCCGAATCTCGATGAACTGATGTAGCGCCACCAGGTGGATGAGAAAGGACACACAGTACAGGCGACTACAAGAGCAGCTTACTTTTTCTTTCATGAGATGCAGGAAACATTGGAGGGGGAGCTGGGGAGGTCCTGAAGGGCAAGTCCAGAGAGACAGAGACGGAGAAAGAGACAGAGAGAGAGAAAAACAGAGACACAGACAGAGAGACAGGCAGAGATGCAGAAATCGAGAGAATCCCTACCCCTAGCATCACAGAACACTCTCTTTCCATCAATTCTCCTTATTGTGCCAGCTTTGGCGGCAACACACTGAACAGGGGGCTGTGCCCGTCATTGCTGAAGTAACAAAGGGCCCTCTTCAGTTGTTGAGCGTGTGCTTACAAACGTGTACTGGGAAGAGTGTGCCCTGTGGGCGGCCTCTTTGCCACCCTGGAAGACCCTGACCAGAGGGTCAAAGGGTGGCTGACCAGCAGCCTGCTGCTGGGGTGTGAGCTCAGGGTTAAGGAGCGTCTCTAAAGAGCACAGGTGAGCAATTTCTTAGCTTGAGAAGCCTTCCTCTTCAGAAGAGCCTTCCTGTATCAGGGGGCACTGCGGCTGAGGAAGGAGCCTTGCCCTGGAGGTGCGGAGGCCGGAAGATGTCTAGGCCTGCAGAGCTGTCCCTACAATTAGGGCACACACCCAGGGGCAGGGCTCTGTCAACAAGAAGCTCCCACAACACCTCAAATAAATACATCATGGCACTAAACGTGCTAGTTCTCTGCAGCGTGATGGGGCCTCTCAGCGTCTCCCAGCACCAGGGGCTCAGGGCGGCCGAGCTGCGCATGCTCAGGAGGGAAGGGGCCACTCACCATCTGCAGGACGTCGGAGGAGACCATCTGCATGCAGCACATGGCCGTGGCCAACGCGCACACGATGGTGGAGAGGACGTTGAGGGCGCACACGCTGAAGAGGAGGTCCTGGGAGAAAAGACGCGGGAGGGAGATGGTCAGCCTCGCCGTGGGGACCCAGACGGCAGATCTCTGGCGTTTCTGTCAGGGTCCAGAATCAGTCTGCCAATGGCCTCCACGTCATGGAGGTTTGGTTTTGTGATTTCCTTTTTTTTTTTTTTTTGTCTTCAAAACTGGCCTTTCCATGCCTGGGTAGTGAAACCTCCGCAGAAGCCCAAGCACAGGGTTGGGAGAGCTTCCGGGGTTAATAATGCACCTGGGACACTGGGGAGAGGAGTGCCTGGAGGGGGCACAGAAGCCCTGCCCCTTTCCCCATGCCCCTCCCCTTCCCCATGCTCCGCCCCTTTCCTCACGCTCCGCTCCTTTCCCATGCTCCACCCCTTTTCCATGAGGCGGGGCCCAGGCATCTCTTCCATCTGGTTCCTAAATTACAGCCGTTTATAAAAACTCGGTAATCTATTGAATAGTAAGTGAAACAAAAACAAAAAAACTGGCCTTTACACAGAACCATTTTTTTCCTACAGTTCTAATCAAATTCTTCTTAGACCCTAAATCATGTATTTTACAATTTTGGTAATTATTAGGCAGACACTAAGAAAACCTCGAAATGGCCATTATTTAAGGAGGCGGGCAATCTTTATGAATCACACAACATAACTGAAAATCTGATAAGTATTCATAATACTTATGAATATAAGTATTATATTCATAATACTTATGAATTATGTATTTCATAATACATCGCCACGTTTTTAAAATGGAACTTTCTATCTTGAGACGACAGAAGATCCACATGCAGTTTTAAGGAATAATCCAGGGAGACCCTCTGCACCCTCAGCTCACCGCCCCCACCACCCCCTGGATGGAAACTCCTCACAAACCATGACGAGGGGTCACAGCCAGGACGGACAATAGTGTAGTCAAGAGACGAAATACTTCCATCACCACAAGGACCCTCCACACACACACTCTGTTGCCTTTTCTAGATGCCCCTACCTGTCTCTCTGTTCCCACCCAATCTCTCCCCAACCCTGTCCGCCATGCGTTTGTCTCTATTTTTAGAATGTGTCATCTCAAGAATGGCAGGTAGACTCAGAGAGCACGTAGCCTTCCAGAATTAGATGTCTTCACTCAGCGAATTCCCTCAAGATTCCTCCAAATTTTTGCAAAGCTCATCCCTTTTTCTTGCTGAGCAGTATTCCACGGCGTTAATACACCGCAGTGTAATCATTCACCAGTTGAACAACATCTGGACATTTTTTTTTACAGTTTGGGTTTATTACACATAAAGCTGCCGTGAACATTTGTTTACAGGTCTTTGTGTGACCATAACTTTTTATTTCTCTGGGATAAACGTCCATGGGCACCACTGCTGGCTCCTGTGGGAGCTCACGCTTAGTTTTATGAGAAACTGCCGAATTATTGAACAACAATAAAAAAATTTTTTAAAAACCTGCCAAATTGTTTTCCAGAGTGGGGAAACCATTTTACATTCCTGCCAGCAATGTGTGGCTGACCCAGGCTTTCCGAATCCTTGCCAGCATTTGGTGTCCATGGACGTTTATCCTAGAGAAATAAAAAGTTACGGTCACACAAAGACTGTAAAAAATATTTTTAAAAATATTTAAAATATTTTAAAAAATATTTTATCTATTTTATTTTATTTTATAGAGAGGGGAAGAGAAGGAGAAAGAGAGAGAGAAACACAGATGTGAGAGAAACATCAATTGGTTCCCTCCCGCACACCCCCCAATCAGGGATCGAACCCACAACCCAGGCTTGTGCCCTCACTGGGGATGGAACCTGAGACCTGTCACTTTGTGGGACGACACCCGACCCACCTAGCCACACCGGTCAGGGCAGCGTGCCTGCTTTGTGGCCCCGTGATGTTAGACTCGGGCCCTGGACCGTGCCCTGACACTGCGTGGGAAGAGGCAGTCTGCCAGGGCCCCAAGCGTGCCGGCCACTCTGGCTGGATGTGCCCAGGACCGGGGTGTGCCTTGTCTGCCCCTCCCCTCGCCCATTTCCCAGGGCTGGGTTTGCAACCACAAGCAACCTTGAGGGAGCAGGTACCATCTCCTCAGACAACGTGCAGTCTCACCGCAGGGCCGAGGCTCCCCAGGCTCGGTATCGCCGCCTGGGAGCAGCCCAGCACACGCGCAGGCACCCTGAGGGGCCCTCCGCACCCTCCCCTGGGATGTGAGGGGCCTGGGGAATTGGCTCAGACCAACGTGACGTTCTGGCTACTGCTGCTTCCGTATGTAAGGAAAAGTCTTTTGTCTCTGAACCAGGAGTCTCGTGCCTTCAGCCAGGGAAGCCACCGTCAACTGGAACAGGCTAGTCCGTTAGCTTCAGAGCAAGGAAACAAGCTCAGACTCCACACTGTGTCCGCCAGTGTGTTTCCATCTCCAGCTTGAGCAGCCACGCAGGGCAGACACGCAGCTTCATGCTCTTCTCTCTAGTAGACTGTATCTCACTAGACACAAGTAATGGGTAAATATCTGTCTGAAAATTTATAAAATATTCCACTGTTGCCCTGGCCGGGTGGCTCGGTTGGTTGGAGCATTGCCCTGTACACCAAAAGGGTGTGGGTTCAATTCCTGGTCAGGGTACAGGCCTAGGTTGCGGGTTCAAGCTCTGGTCGGGGCATGTACGGGAGGCAACTGATCAATGTTTCTCTCTTGCATTGATGTTTCTCTCTCTCTGTCTCAAAATCAAGAAGCATATCCTTGGGTGAGGACAAAAAGAAATATTTCATTGTTCTCTTCTGCCTTTTAAATTCAGACTAGAAGGAGATGATGTGTTTAATTTCCTCATTTCCAGCCACACACAGAGAACAGTCCACCATTGCCTTTAAACAAAGGAGCGCATGAGCAAGACTCTTCAAGAACTCTGAGCAGGCGTTCCGGTCGGCAGTGGGACCGGCATGTGTGTTCAGTCTGTGACTTGTTTTTCTTTAAATCAAATTTCTCGAGTTATGAGTACTTCCTGGAACAGATTCCAGGCCATGTACTCTGTCTCTGCAGAAAGCCGCTCTTGCCCGCGGAGGTCTCTGCAGCTGACCTGACTACTGATCCTATGAAAGGAGCTAGAATGAGGCTGTCCTGTGGGGAAGGTTCATGAATCGCAGAGGAATCTGTGGAGCTGTCATTTCAAGACGTAAACGCCCCACTTAAGATCTCTGCAAATGTAAGTCCATTTGGGACTTCCTTTGAAGTCTCGGGTGCCATAAATCACCCAAACGCTACCACAAGAGGACAGCTTCTCCTGCAACAAGTGCACTTTTAACGTTCAACGGCACTCTGAACTTTGAGAAGGACCCACGAGGAGATTAACACTCTCTCCACAGCGGTGCAGAACCAGGCCTCACCGGGTCAGGTGGCCTGCCCTCTGGAGCGGCAGCACTTAGCCTGCAGCTGATGGGTGTAAACTGCCTCAGCTATAACCCATACAAATAATCGTAATTCATAGGCTACATATTTTCTTACTGTTCCATTAGGTTGTTTGCTTTTTTTTTTAATCCTCTCCCGAGGACGTGCTGGCTGATTTGAGAGAGAGGAGGGAAGGGAGGGAGAGACAGAGCAGGACAGAGGAGACATCGGTGCGAGAGAGAACCATCAACTGGCTGCCTCTCGCATGCACCCCGACCAGGGACCGGACCCATGACCTTCCGGTGTACAGGATGGCTCTCCAACCGAGCAAGACTGGCCAGGGCCAGTTTCATCCAGTTTTTTAAGATCAAGAAAACTATTTGCGCCTGGTGCAGAACTCAGCATGCCATGACTCCTGGGAAGCCACGGAGAAGTGGGGTGGGGACTGGGGCCCAGACCACTGTGGCTCTGGGTAAGTGGGAATAAAGGATGGAGCTGACCCCGTGGGAATCAACCGCACTGGCTACACCGACACCACGCAAGAGCTGGAGCATCACCTGGATCAGGGGCAGGCAGGACAGCCCCATCCCCGACAGAAGAAGAAGAAGAAGGCTACTACCCCCCTCTCTCCACCTGCCCTTGCCCCAGAGGGACCAGACCCAAGGCGGAGGGGACAGAAGCGCCCCGGACCTCTCCCCACAGATGGAGGGGCGGAAAGAGGAAAAGTGGGACTGAGGCCCCTCCCCCGGGAAGGAAGCACCGAAACTGCACATGGACACAGCTTTGAGTGGGACGAACGTCAAGAGCTGAAAGTGACCAGAAGGTCAGAGAGACAGCCCGAGCAGCTCCTTAAGGAAGGAGAAGTGCCCTGCGCAGCCGGCGGCAGCGACGGAGGGACGCCAAGGACTCAGGGCACAGCGGCGGGAGCTCTGTGAGGCACGGGGGCCCCACGCCCATGAAGGCAGAGTGAGGGGTCGCCGGGAGGAGGTGACTGGGTGCTTATGAAAGGTCTGCAGCCCTGGCGGGTGTGGCTCAGTGGACTGAACTCTGGTCTGCAAACTGAAAGGTCAGTGGTTCGGTTCCCAGTCAGGGCACATGCCTGGGTTGTGGGCCAGGTCCCCACACTAGGGGGTGTGTGAGAGGTAACCACACATTGATGTTTCTCTCCCTCTCTTTCTCCCTCCCTTCCCCTTGCTCCAAATATAAATAAAATCTTTAAAAAAATTAAGAAGAAAGGTCTCCAGTGCTCCAACCCAATCAGTCACTGGTGGAGAATAACAGTGGGCCATGAATTGTTTTCTCTGTTTTCACATGGAATAATTTGCATTAAAATTTGTTTGGTAATCCTCACCCAAGGACATGTTTATTGATTTTTTTTTAGAGGGACGGAGGAGAAAGAGAGAGAAACATCAATTGGTTGCCTCCTGTATGCACCACAACCGGGGATCGAACCTGCAACCTTTGGGTGCACAGGACAACACCCAGACCAACTGAGCCACTTGGCCAGGGCAGAAATTTTTTTTGGAAAGACAAAACCCAGCAACTCTGCAGCTTTAAGATGCTGAGAGACCAGTGGTGACCCAGGCGTGGGAAGGGGCCCTCATGTGGTGCTATGGGGACGTTCACTCACTTAACCGCCATTGGCTCCCATGACTGTGCCCCGTCTCAGACCAGCATGGTCCCCGAGCGGGCAGAGAGCGGTGCAGGGTCTCCACTCGCAGAGCCGCCCCTCATGCACCTCCTTTGTGTGGGGACTGAATGGCAACTTGGCCTGAGCCTGCTTGAAAGAAAGTCAGAATCAAAGGAACTGACTGGCAGGCCCTGTAAACCCACACAGTAGCAGGCCAGGGACCACGATGGACTTCAGGAACTGGGTCCAAACAGCAAGTGACTGCCCTGTCGGTATTTACTGATGTGGCTTTGATTATGCGGGGCTGCCACTGATGAGTCATCAATCCAGCCGCTCAGCACCCCTCTTGTCGAGCCCCAGGGGCAGTGGCTGCCCAGACGGCCTGGGGGTGTCCACCTGTGCAGACGGAGGTGGGCCAGTGAGGGCGCCGCAGAGATGAGCCCCCAGACGGCCCGTAGCCCTTTCCCCCAGGACAGCTGGCGCCTGCACGACCTTCCAGGTTTCCGAGGTAGCGAGGGCGCGGGAGGGGGGTGTAACAGGAACACAGGTGGGGGGCGCCCCCCCAAGATCATTCAGTCACTCACAGAAACACAACTAACGTCAAAGAGCTCAGACTCCCAACCAACCCCAAGGGTACCTTCCCTGGCACAGTGTCCACGAGACACAAAGTGTGGGTAATTCCTAACTTCAGGCGGAAATCAGGCACGGAGTAGTTCTCACCAGAGGGCTGGAGCCTCGAATCAGACCATGAAGAGGCCGATGAGCATGCTTTGGCAGTCGACCCAAAAGAGCAAGCACGGGAACAGAACCCCAGGGTCACGCCCCCCTGCACCCTCTTCTGCGAAGCGTCGGGAGCATTTACGCGCTATAGGAAGGGGCTGCCCTGGAGATCTGTCCCGCGGAGGAGCTGTGCGTGTGTGTGTGTGTGTGTGTGTCCTGAGTTTTAACACTGAGAAGCATCGCCAGATCCCTCATTATTGCGGGGACAGCGAGGCTCAAATAAGTTTAAGAGCAATGATTCCATTAGAACGTCCTCACCCCTAATTATCAGAAAACTAGCAAGTGAGGCACTTGGATCTGTAGAAATCTCAGAGGCACTGGTGTCGGACCCATCAACTGAGGTTATATTGCAACCAACTACCCGCAATTCTAAGGAAGGACAGACGCCCCCGTGGACAGACACGAGGACCAGCCCATTTGGGGCAGACGCGGTCAGACACCAGCTCTAGGGGCCGAGGTGGACGATGTGCAAGCCCCTGCGGGTGACGGGGCGGAGACACGGAGGGGGGAGTAAAAACCTCGGCTGCAGAGAGGGAGTGTGTCTGTGACGGGCTCCTCCGCAGACTCGACCCCGCTGGGGGAAAATGACCAAGGGCGGTTTGTCTTTGAATGCAGGGCTGGTTCACCCTTCAAAAGCGATCGGTGGGCTTCCCCGGGCCAGAGACCAAGGGAGGAAAAGCCAGATGAGTATCTGAGCACAGGGGAAACTACTCTGACAAACCAGACAGCCCTGGACAGCCCTTCACGACAGAAACCGCTGGGAAACCAGGAATAAGAGTGTGGCCTGTGGCTCCATCCACGTGAGTCTGCAGAGCTGTGAGGTCCCCGGGGAGGGAGGGGGTTGTCAGATGATTTTAGGGGTAGCTGCTGCACTCTAAGCACAACGACCTGTTGTCTGGTTGTGCTTTCACACATGGAGAGAGGTGGTCCCGCTGAGCACGTGACTCCAGGGTTGTCAGAATGAGAGCTCGGGGTGAGCGCTGCTGCCAATGTCCCCACCCCCGGAGGGTGGGAAGGCGGGGTGGGCCCTGGGCACTGGCCGTGAGCAGGCCCAGGGTGCAGAGGGCCAGAAACCAAGGCTGTGGAACATCAGAAACCAGCTCGCACGGAAGAGAGTGGGCCCCTGCATGCTGCTCTCTGGGGCCCTCTGACCCTGCCGGGCCGGACTCCGGCGGGCTGCTGGGGCCACTGAGTTTGGGCCGCTCCTCCCTGAGAAACAAGGCAGGGTGCCCACTGTCCCCCAGAACTTCAGGCACATTCTCTGCCTCTGTGCGTCACTGCCGGTTCGCCAGTGGGTCTCACAGCACGCTGGAGTGAGCAGCGAGCTCACCGGGACCGAGCTGTCACCCTTGCCAGTCACGCCGACGGAGGACCTGCCCCACGCACCCAAGGACACAGAGCAGCCCTGTCCTCCTCTCTTCCCAGACTCCAGGGCGGCTTTCTGGGGGCTCCAGTCCCCCCACACACTGCATTCCCTACACACGTATGACAGAGCTCGGGGCACGTGACTGCAGCCACATCGTCTTTAAAAAAGTGGAGTGCACTGTCATTCAGGGAAAAGAGAAAAACTAGGTCCACTGTTCACATGCATTGTTAAGCAGTCAGTTTTGATTTCTGGGAGTTAAAAAGAGAAACACTCGCAGAAAGAGAAAGAAAGGAACAATACAAACAATTTCCTATTGCATTAGAAAAATCAAAGAAACCAACAAGAAAAATAAGAAAATTTCAAAAAATCAAATGCTGTCCATAAGACTAGGTTGCCAGGGGAAACCATACCACTTCCATTTCCAGATTTTTTTGAAAAGGCGAAATCCACAGCCGCCTGCTCCCAGCTGGCGGGGCAGCGAAAACGTGAGACAGGCCGTGGACTCCACCTCACCCACATCTGCAGAGCCTTTCCCGTCCATTCAGGGCCCACTCCACACACGTGGGAGGCGGGACGGCGACGTGGGAAAAATGGGAAAACCAGACCCAGCAAAAACGACACCCTGCGAGTGGGAAATCGACACCCCTGCAGAAATGCTCCCTGGACAGAGATTCCCGCCCCTTACCCAAAGGAACACGCGCATGAATCAGATTCCCCTCCCCCCCCCCACGTCTGCAATGCCCGGGGGAGACATGCACGGGGGCGGGGCCCGTGCCGTCACCTTGAGGGTCAGCCGCACGGCGTTGCAGTCCTCCCGCAGCGGGTTCAGCTTCAGCGTCTCCCCCAGGTTGCTGCAGCCGGCCGACTGGTGCTGCGTCTCGCAGCAGACGCACACCTCCACGCTGTCAAACTTAATCTGGACAGAGGAACACAGAGCTCACAGTTACAACGGCGTTCCGCCCCGGCGGGTGCCCGCGAGCCGCGAGGGGACGCACAGGTGCCCGCGCCTCAGCTCAAGGCATCCCGATGCAGCGTACATCGTGAAGCCAAAGTGACTTTTGTCGTCGTTGCTGTCGACAACACCATGGGAAACACCGGGAGGAATGCCTCCAAATTCCTGTTTTAAAAGCAATTGATACAAAAGAAAAATCAGTCGATTGGAAGAAACCTAAGCTGGACTGTTGGACGAGATTACAGATGCATCACAGAAAGAGATCGAGGTCCAGGAACAGAGAATCCCTCACGCGGAGAGGCCCATGGGACGTGTTATCCTGGCTCTGTGCCCTGGCACATTCTGCTCCCGGGGTCAGCCAGCTCCCGGCCTGCTGCACCACCCATCTGGGATGAACTCCTGTTCATCCCAGAGTCTTTCTCCGGCTCTCCCTCTCCGGGGCTGCCTGCCTCTCCTCAGAGCCCCGCCTCTGTGGGAGACTTCTGCTCTCTCTGGCCGCACTTCCTCGTGCCCCCTGGGCCCCCCAAGGGCAGCCACCACATCTCGGTATTCACGGTGTCAACGAGCTGTAGGCATTTGAAAATGATGAAGAAATAAAAGTGCCATGAAAAATTTAAAACCATGGAAAGATGAAAAGAAATGCAATTCAGGCCCTGGCTGGTATGGCTCAGTGGATCGGGCACTGGCCTATGAACCAAAGTGTTGCCAGTTCGATTCCCAGTCAGGGCACATGCCTGGTTGTGGGCCAGGTCCCCAGTAAGGGGCACTCGAGGGGCAACCACACACTGATGTTTCTCTCCCCTTTCTCCTTCCCTTCCCCTTTGGTTCGCAGGCCTGCACTCAATCCACTGAGCTACCAGCCAGGCTCGTTCTTGCATGTTTAAATGTCGGTCACCTTCAAAGCACTCTCCATTTGATACAACACACCTATTGAGACAGTTTTGCCCACTGCTCAAAAGTTTTGAACTCATCAATTTTAAGTCTTTTAGTGCTTTTGGTACTTTTTGTTTCACCTCTTCCACATCGGCAAATGGTTTCGCTTTGAGGACTTTTTCAAGCGGGGAAACAAAAAGTCACTCAGGGTAAGTTCGGGTGAACAGGGAAGGTGGGGCAGGAGCGTCAGGCCATTTCTGGTCAGAAACTACTGAGCACTCAGCGCGGGGTGGGCATGCACACTCGTACATCACCCATCATGAAATGAGCAAACATGTTCAGTCTTCAAAAACCATTCACTCAAGCCGAATGCAGCCTCTCACAACAACGCCAGCTGATGCACTGATCCAGATGGGTTCCTAGAACACTCACCTAGATGGGGAAGCCTGTCCTACAAGGGGCCCGCCCTCCAGGGGGTAATTCCAGTATTTTTTGGGTTCCCTCCACTCCTTTTATACCTCATTTTTGCTCTTTTAATTTCCTAAAATCGCTCTGATTTTTTTTCTGGATTTCTACATGTGTTAGAGTAAGTGGGGGGTGGGCACCGCAGTCTGAGGAAGAGAAGTGTACGGGCTGGAGGCCGAGCACGGGGAGGTGGGCCTGCACAGGCACCGGGGTCCGGGGGCAGTGCCTACAGCTGCAGGGTCAGCAGGGTCAGCTGCAGGCTGGGCTGCACCTCAGCCCAGGGCTGAGGACGGGGCTTCTCTCAAAGCAGTTCTGAGATAGGACCTGGGCCATCTTGCCTCTCCTGGTTGTGCGGCCCTCCACACTCAGCCATCCTGAAGACTCCGTGAGCTCCGTGGGGTCCTAGGATCATGCCTTCTAAGGGAAAGCTACCTCGAGTTGGGTTTCTTCACAGCTGAGGACCCTGCCTGGACAGGGGGGCATGCTGACTGCACCCCCAAGAAAAGCTGCGGTCCTAGAAAGGCCAGTCCTTCCCGGGGAACGCACCTGTGGGCCGGTATTCCCGTCACAACGCCAACAGAGTAGGTGGAGCTGGACAAAAGTCTTTTAAAGAAGGTATGGAAGAATAAGTTACTACTATTCAGAAAATTTGAAAATGAGTAATATTAGGAGGACTAGATGCCTTAACCGATGTTGAATTTATTTTGAAGGTGCTTAATCAAAACATTAAGTGGGTGGTCTTGGCCCAGTGGTTTAATCGGTTGCAGTGTGGTCCCGGACAACCAAGGGATGTGGGTTGATTCCAGGTCAGGACACAGGCTTGGGCTGCGGGTTCCGTCCCCGTTTGGGGTGCAGATGGGAGGCGACCCTTCGATGCTTCTCTCTCTGTCCCTTCCTGTCTCTCTAAAATCAATAACTATATCCTTACGTCATGATTAAAAAAACACATTATGTTAATGGTTTAAAAATAGCTAAAAAGTTCAATGAGATAGGACAGCTTCAGAAACCAAACCAATAATCTGCAGGAACCTAGTAAATGAAAAATACAGTATTTTAATTCAGTAGGAGAGAGAGAGTTTACATTAAAAGGGGGGCTGGTAAAATAGGGTATTCATCTATGATTGTCTCCAGACATGTAAGACTAAAGTATATTTGACTAAGACTCTAAATAAAAACAGTAAAAATACAGGAAAATGAAAAAGAATGGTTGCGTAAACATGGAATGTGGAGTTGTCCCAAAATCTCAGAACTGATAAAGTCTCAGAACGAAAGACGGACCCGGACAGTGTCTCCAGCCAGCCAGGCCCGCGGCTGGAGCTGTCAGGAGACACGCCTTTCTCACCGAGGCCTCTACGCTTCCTGCTGGGGGTCTGCAGCTCAGGGCGTGTTCTTACAGACGGACAAAAAGTTAACGTCTGCTTAGCAGCATTAGGCATGAAGGGATGAGAAATGAGAAGAACATGCAAATAATAACTTTGTGCCAGTGAATCTGAACACCTGGGAAGAAAAATAGATGATTTTCTATGAAAATAGGAAGTAATAAAACTGGCAATGCAAAAAAAAAACAACAAACCCAAAACAAAAAAACAACAAACAGGTTTACAATTGAATGGACTACAAACCATAGAAAGGCTCTTACCAGCCAGCAGCCGGGGACACTGAGGTGGCCTAAGCTACCTGCCCTCGCCTTGAGATCCACAGCGAGGGTGAAGTCCCCGCGTGTCCCCCACCCATCAGTGGCTCCACTGAACAGCCCCCCGGGGCAGAGTCCCAGGCCCTGGTTCTCGGGCCTTCCCCCGGGGGCCGAGTGCGTGCTGGGCACCCACAATGCACACAATGGGGATTCCCTGCCCAGAAGAATGCTTCTGGCTTCAAGGCTGATCAGCTCGTCAAAAGCAGCCACGAGAAAAGCACAAAATGGCCGTTTTCCTTTCCTTCTTCCCACGGGACTAATTAGCACACGGGAGCCCAGTTCCCCTTGGGCAAGTTCATGTCTCACATCGCCCAGGGCGAGCAGCCAGGGCTGGGCCGCATCACCGGACTCTGGACCTGGGAGGGCTGCTCTTGGCTTCAGGGGGTCCCTTCCTTCCTCTCATCTGCTGGACAAAGCCCAGCTCTCCTTATGTAGTCTGCTCTCCCACGCCTCAAAACACGCAAGGAATTGTCTCAGACGGTCACGCCTGGCCCTTGGAATTGACGAAGAAAGGACCCAGTGTAAGTGGCAAGCCCGCCTCCCTGGGGGGTGGGGGGAAGGAGGAGAGAGACTGCACTCGGCTGGAAAGCACAGCCGATCACGTCCCATAACCCTTCAGTGACCCGGGCAAACAGACATCCAAATAAATCTTCCCCCTCAGTATTTCACTGAACTGGTCATTAATTCTGAGAAAAAGTCTGGAAATCTCCCGATGAGTTCTCTGACCCCGACGTCTCGGTGTGCGGGAGGGCTGACAGATTTATTTCGGGGATGGCTCTCAGGGTCCGGGGCGCCAGGAACGACGCAGCCAAGCTTTGCAAATGAAGCCGCTGTCATTTTTCACGGGTCTCGTCGGGGCATTTCACAGCCAGGCGCCCCTCTTATTTATGGCCATCAGCCTGTCCAGGAGTGAGAAGGGCTGACACAACAGGAAGAGGGGGTGCCCCCGAGGCTCTAACAACAGCATAAATGAGACAGACGGGTGACCTCTGGGGAGTTCCCAAAGGCAGGCAGGCGGCCGGGAGGCAGGACCCGGAGGGAGGGAGGCGGGGCGGGGAGGAGGAGAGCTCAGGGGGTTGGGCAGCGAACCCCAGGGACACCCAGTAGGCATTCTGTCCCTGAGGGTCACTAACTGGCCGAGACACAGAGGAAGCAAGGCACGGGGGACAGAGTACCTTACAGGGTGGCTGTCACCTACAGAGTGACCCACGACAAGCCACAGGACCTCTCCGGGCTTCAGGTTCCCGGGGTCACGGTGAGAGCATCAGACGAAGTTAAGGAAGTAAACACAGTGCAAATGCTGTTCGGTGTTAGTGTTATTTTATTATCTCAACTGTGAAATGGGTTTGCAAAAACTTGCCGCTGTTTTCGAATTCATCGAGGGTTCTACCGCTGTGACGGACCTTCTCCTTCATCCGGTGACACCAGATGAATCTGCGCGCTCGGTCCAGGCCCAGCCCATCCAGAGGGACCCCTCTGTCCCGCAGGGTGCCTGCCAGCGGGATCCTGAAACACGCGTGGGCCCCGAGGAGGTGGGGTCTGACAACCTCATGCGGGTGGGCACTCGAGACCCCAGAACACCAGTGATGGGTCTACACCACCACGACGCTGAAAACATCACGCCGAGTGACGGACACGAGACATGAAAGGCCACACGGTGTACGACGCCATTCCCACGCAGAGTCCAGAACACAGAGGACCTCCAGAGACAGGGAGGGGGTCTGTGGGTGACGGGGTGGGGTGGGGGGATGGGGACCCGACACCTGCAGGTGATGGGGTTTCCTCCTTGGGGATGAAAAGTTCCAAGATGAACTGTGATGACTGTACCAATCAGGGAAGGTGCTAAAAATGACTGAACTGCACACTTAGAACAAGTGAGTAGTATGGTGGATGAATTACATCTCAAAAAAGTCTTAAAAAAAAAAAAAAGAAA